GAATAGGGAGGCTTGAAGAGGGAATGAAAAGGAGAAGATTTTGGTGTTCTTCCGAAGATACTGAACTTTCAACCTAATACAGTAGTAGAAAAAAGGTGGAGACAAATCAACAAAAAATGATCGTGTAAGAATCTCGACTTCTCAGTTTCTCAAACTGTGTAAAACTACAGCTTCGCCGATATGAACAAAGCCAGGCTGATTTATGCTCGCTCTTAATAGCTTACGCATTCACATCTCTTGATGATTCTCTGGCACTGTATTAGATGAGCATAGGCAAAATGTTCCTGTAAGAGGAATCATTAGTGACAAGGGTAAAAGCTAAGCAAAATGCAGTTGCAAGAGCTGGAAAAAGTGCTAGTAAACATAGCAGCACACTAATGATTTTTTTTCCTGAGTGCTGAAGTTGATCACAGAATCACAGAATTACTGAGGCTGGAAAAGACCTCTGAGATCATCAAGTCCAGCCTATGATGCTCGCTACAAGTTTAGTAACAATTTTTTTTTCCCCTGAGATATCTATTTGCACGGTTGAGATCGTAGGCATTACTTTTCCTACCAGAAGGAAAAAATTCTTTGGGTAAATTTGTTTTTCAAAGTACAGCTACTCCTGTAGATAGGCACCTTGCTTACAGTAGACAAGTGCCAACATCAGTATACCAGAACACGCAAACTGTAATTTGCATGTCTAGACTTTATTATTACAGCATTTTAGTTGCAACTTATACCAGACATACAAGTGAATGTAGTTTTACACTTCATTATGTCTGCTGCTTCTTTCCCAAGTGAAATCAGCATTTAAAAATAACTGCAGAATTTCAGCATTGCTAAAAAGCTATGAAAATCATAGTATGTGCCAATCTATAGAGCAAACCCATTTTTTCCACAATCCTTCCCTCTAGTCATTATCTATTCATTACAGTTTTTATGCTAAGATTCAGTTACATAAAATATAGAACTACAAGGTATTACTTTTCTTGATAATTATTCAAGCAAGAGTTTTTGAGCCTGTAGAGGTAGCCAGTTACACGTAAATGAAAGCAGAAAGGCAATCCAAACCCTAATCTGGGTCTGGAATGACCTAACCATAGGCCTTTCCTATGGCTCAAAATTTATTGTAATTATGTATGTATTTAAGTATTTTAATCATCTTACTATACTATTTCCACTCTGGGTATGTGATAGATTAAAGCAGGACATAATTATCCCTTGTATTGCTTTGCAAGCCAACAGTCGACGTGACTGGCGATCTGGAAGGTAAGTCTTCAGTGTGCTCCATCCACAGCTTTGAAAATTGCTGACATGCTGATGCAGCAAGCTCAACATAGAGGAACTTTCTGAAATTACCGCATCAACTACTTCTATTTATCTATACTTCCCAGCTCGGTGACCTTCAAAGGACATTCACATGTAATTTGTCCTTACTTCATTGTTCTGCAGGCCCTGGCAGATTACCCAGGGAGATGTATTGACAGCCAGCTTCTTGGGAAAAAACAAACAAAAACCACTAAAACCCCATGAACAAAAACCACTCCACAGTTTTTTGTCTTTTCAACAGGATTCCCTCCCCTCAAATAAGTGGGATTTCTACAGCTCCAAACCTGCATCATGAAGGATGAAGCAATCGCAAGTCAACTCAGGGTGATGGTTAAATAAAAAAGTACAAATTAGGCTACTACAGCAGACTGTGAGAATAATTATTTTATACAGTATTTACTTACTCATGTAGAATAAAAAAAGTGTTTCAGAGTCCTCTAGGCATTAAGTTGCGAATGCAACTTGCATGAGAAGCTGTTGCAATGTCTGAATGCTTAGAAAGATGTATAAGCCACCGTCAGGAGAAAACACCATGCCAGTCGTTTTCAAAAGGGTCTTTTCATAAATTACTTTATTTCTCATTAAATGAGCACAGAGTCATTACCATATTAATAACAGATATGTTTATTATTCCATATCCATCAGTGCGGCTTTCAATACCACTTGAAACATGCAAATCGTCCTAAGGACGAATCAGTTTTCCAGTGCTTCTTATTTAATACACAACTGCAAAGCCATTATAAATTACTGAGGAGGTATTTGGTTAAGAAATAAAATAAAATAAAACCATACTGCCCATACCATGAATGTATTCCTGCTACAAAGCAAGAGTCTGACAGCATTTACTGAAATTCCTGACTTACATGAAGCTTTTGTATTATATGCTGTTTTTTCCTTTTTTTTTTTTTTTTTTTTTTTTTGCATTGCCCACACATCTCTTGGCTTATGAAACAGAATCAGTCTGTCTTTGTAAGAGGAATTCTCATTCAAAGATTGTACTTAATTTAGAAAATGCATCTAGCATCTACAATACTTCAACCAATTAAAATTCAAATAAAAACCACCGATATGCGATAGGTTTTTAGAGGTTTCCTTTGTTTAGTTTTAGATTTCTACATTTATTGACATGGCAATAATACAATTATCTCAAATTAAGGCACTAAAAGGACAATGTAAAACCCAGTAAAAGTGTTCTAAGAATAATTTACATTTCAAACAGTGCATATATTTCTTAAATGTTTGTTAACTTAATGAATATTATCACTTAAAATTGTAAGGCAATACATTACAGTTACAGAAACAATGTACCCCAAAATATGCTTCCAAACTTGGTGGTTCTTTTTACTGTTAGTTTCTAATGCCTCTAATAGTAAAATAATTCAGTATGGCTTGGCAAAAATGCATAGATTAAAGGCAATTACTTGTTTTCCCCCCTTTACAAACCTGCTGAATCAGTATTTTGTAAAGCATAATGCAAAATATTTAACACTTCGATCCATTCCATAGTGGGTGGTTAGCATTAAGGCTGTTAAGAACTCTGCAGTGAAGGCACTGAAGTTCAAGTGATAAGGCTTCATTTTTAAGTGAGTTCTGCAGTCTTCAAGAGCACAACTTTTGAGTCTTGAAAGCAATTGCAGTCCTTCTCATTGGGAAACCTTCCTCCTCTACTCCACTTCATATGCTCATCTTGACATAAATATCCCTTTTACAGGGTGAACAGTCCTTTTCTTTCACTGATACGAAGAAAGTTGGCTGCATTTCATCATGACTGACAGGCTTTTTTTTTTTTAATCCAAAAAGGCAGCACCTTCTTTTATACACCTAGCTAAGCTTTATTTGCTTTAACTTGCATTACATAGTAATAATTAATCTAATCTACCTTTAGGCAAACCCGCAATTAAACACCCTCAGCGTGCTTTTGTGCCAAAGCAAGGAGGAGACAGTAATAGCAATCTTAACCCTGAAGCCTGTGATAGTTATGTTGAAAGGAACAACAGCCCGTCTGCACTGCTCTGTGTGGTTAAAAAAAGCACTGTTTCTCAGACCGCATCCCATGAGATTCCAATAAGCCCTGTACGTGTGGTTAGCTGGAACAAAGAAGAAAACAGACAATTAATAACAAATATAAAAATTAGCTTCATAACACTGGGGCATGTTTGCCAAGAGCTTCGGTGAAGAAAATACTTCATTTTACATTAACAAAATATTTTTTCAATTGACAAGGTACAATACTAGGACGATACCGACACAAACTTCCACAAACTGTTCTTAATTTCAAAGAACTTTAAATGAACACAGAGATCAGACAGATGATAATATTATTGCTGCAGCTTTACAAGTAAACAATTAAGAGTAAACAATCATGGGTGTATTCTTAGCAAATGCAATGTGACCCTTGTTCACTTGCAGGACAGGGAAAGGCTCTCAACAGGGCTATGAGAATGCACATGCAGTTGCCAGAGCTCTTCTGATGCACAGGCACTTGAGTTGTTTGCTTTGGGTTTTTTTTTAACATGCACTAACTTGATAGGGGGCCCAAGTCCAAATATATTAATACAAAACACCTCAACTGTGCTGATACAATGTGTATAAATTAGCATACGATAAACCATGAAGTGTACTTCCAGATCTAGAAGCAGTACTGCAAATGCTAGCAAGTTCATCATGAAGTTCTGATTCATATTTACTACCGATAAGTTATCAAAATGAGGAATAGAACTTAACAATGAACTTATACGTGAAACTCCTTTCAATGGATCTGATACACCTCCTCATGAAGACAATGAAGTGCTGCCTACCAACTGTGAAGAAAGGTGGATCAGACCCTAAATGAAATGTACTACAATGTCTTAAAGCATGTGTTAAAGTCTGTATCCATTAAATAAAATAATTAATGCCTGCTTATATGGGAGGACTCCATCACTGATATCAAATTCTGCTCTACTGTCTGACAAGATAACAATTTTCAAGTACTTAGTAAAAGCTAAACATGTATATTTTAAAAAAAGAAATTAAAATCATCACTGCTTCTCTTACTCCCAAGTCTAGGTTAAGAAGTCAGGGTGAGAACTGGAGGGTGCAGTGTCTTGAGTTCAAAGAAGCAGATCTAACAACTTGCTGCCTCCTGAAAGGAAGAGAGAGCGCTGTTCCTCCACTTTATCACCTTCCTGACCCCAAGGGAGCACCTTCCTCCATACCTGTCCTCAGCTTTGGCAGTCACCGCACTTGGCAGCAGGCTGAGTCCATGCACTATAGCTCAGCAAAATAAGTCTACATTTTTTTGGTCAGGAAACTGAATTGTGGACCCTCAGGGAATGGTCCAAAATGGATCACTTCAAGAACTTACTCAGGATCCAAAGACAGAAGAGCAGGGAAGGAAGACAGACAGGGAAAATCCTGCCCCTAAGTAGCAACAGGCTGTCAGATTAACTCAGCTACTGTGCAATCACCAGGTAAGTGCTCGGTATGTAATACCGAATTTGTAATATGTAAATTTACTTAATAATCTAAATTGAAACATCTAGTACATCCAAAGTGAATTGTCCTAAAGTAAATCCAATGCCTCTTCTTTCTAAACATACAGGATGGAATATGTAGTGATATCAGGGCACAGGTTGGACATATTCCATCACAGCAGTGATTATCTAGTTCATAGATGCAGCTAACATCAAATTTGTCTGAGAAAGTCACAAAAATGTTCACTGAAGAATAGCTTGAAAGGTAAATTCCTATCTGACCTTCTTCCAATGCTAAATTTTCTGAGTGAATCTGAATTTTTTCACTGTTCGCTCGCATTGCTGTGCAGGTGCCGTGCAAGCCCCACTACATTCCAGTCAACCCAGTGGCAGCTGTCTGATGGGGATGGAGCACGCGACAAAGCCACCCAAGCAGCTCCTCAAGCATCAGCGAGGTGCAGGGGCTCCCCACCTGCCTCCTGCACACATCTCCATGCAGCACGCACATACCTAGCACTCATGCTGGTCAAGTACTGTGCCTCTCTAAATTCCTTATGCTCAATATGCTTCTTCCTCCATACTCCATGCCTACAATATACAGTGTTAAAACAGAGTTCGCTGTAAATTATTTACATGGTCTAAGAAGCTATGTCAGTATTAAACACCATTAAGAAGCACGATTTCTAAGGTCAAATATCAATTATGTCATCAAACTCACTGACGGATTTGGGTTCAGTCTAGAAGAATAATACAAATGTAAACGGTTTGATTCACATCACAGTCTGACAGAAAAATTCAGCAAGTCAGAGAGATAAGATACTGCACAGGTATTAAGTTCTCAATTGCCAGAAAAAGTAAGAGCTTTATTTCTTCCCAAGAACCTGGAACATCCTGTTGGGTGATGGAGTGGCTGTACACTAGGGCAGATGGAGATAATGCAAGGCTGCAGTATTCTGAACACCTGATCTGACCTGTCACTTCGCTAGTGCATGAAGACCATCTTCACCCTTCCTTCTTCCATTCTTGAGATAGATCAGGTGCTTTCTGGGCTCTTCCATGAATGACTGCAACTTCTCAACCCAACAGAAAACCACACACTTTTCTTTACTGGGGTTAGGGTTGGGGTTTTTTTGTTGTTGTTATGCTTTGGGGTTTTGGCTTTTTTTTTAGTGAAAACATTCCTGGATTAAGCCTCTGCTGGAAAATAGATCAGTTTACAGTGGTAATCTGTGAAGCATGAGCTGACACAAGATAAAACACAGGAATGTGCAGCTCTCTTCCTGGTGCTGGTGAGATATTAGGCTCATTGTATCTCTAGAATCTTAAAAAAGAGCTTTAAAGATCATGTTTCTCCTTTTCAAAAGAAGTTCCCATTTACTACTTGCATATTTCTGATTCTCTAACGCTCTCAGCACAACCCGTGCCAATAGGATTAATAACAGAAATTGTCTGAATAACTGATCTCCCCAACCAGACCCATTCCTTTAAAAGCTACTGTAAATTTTCAAATATGTAAATCTGTTCTTTCTATAAGAGATAGCTGCAAACTTGCTCTTGCTAAAGGCAACCCCAAACCAGCAGTTCTATTAACACAGAGTGAAAAAGAATAAACAAATTGATTTACGAAAATTGATTTGCTTCCATAAAAGAGTATGGATGAAAGCATCTGTGCTTTTTCAATCAGCTGTAAAACACCTGGAAAAAAGTTAAGATCTTGACATGAGAAACCTAAGAAATCATATGGTTATGCTGGGGAAAAAAAGATGTCTATTGAAAAGCTAACAGCTATGAGACATCTGAATACCAGAGCTGTCTTACCTATAGTTTTTAAATTTTCTCCTCCCTTTTTTTAATTCTGTATGTGCATGCACATGCAAATTCCCTCCTCACACCCTAGTATAAGGTATATTACAGTAACTGCAGTATAGCTCATCTGAAGACTTTCCCAAAAATTGAAAACAAACATTGCAACAGAACTTAAAAAAAAAAGAATAAAAAAAAATATCTGTTTATCACAGCTACCAGAGGACCTTGGAAGGACAAATGGAAAGGAAAGCATATTAAGAATACAATTCAAACAGTCTTACTTACGGAAAAGAAAGCCTGTAACTCTAAATACCTAAATGTGAAATAAAGAAGTATGCACTATCTTTACAAAGTGAGCTCTACATTAGTAAGATTTGGCAGGAAGAGGGAAGAATCTATAAACTCAGTAACAATCAGGACTATGATCTATTTTAAAATCAGCAAGTGTAATTTATATCCAAAAGTCTTAAAAGACTTGGAAGAAGCCTATGGAGTGGTCTAACATTTTTCAGTAAGTCTTGGAAAGTTGAGGACTTAAGGAAAAATAAGTCTAGAAATACTGTGAAACTTTATAAAAGCTTTTGCAAGTTGGGAGAAATGGACATTTTGTAGACAAGATCAACAGTTAAAAAATATTCCATTGCACAAGTACACACCACATAACAAATATGACTGACCCCCCCCCATAAATTAGCAATTACCAATTTGTCTTTGGTAAAATACTGAAGAAGCTACTATTCAGTAAGCAAGCTCTGATTTTACAGTCATTCTTCTTAACTCAGGTTTGTCACCATGTGCTCTTCCACTGCACTCACCCTTGTTTTCAACAGATTTTTACAGTGAAGATTGTAAGGAAAAACTGCCCACTTTCCAGGAAATCTCCCAAAAAATCAGAAGTGTTTCTGTGTTTCACAACTTCGGCTTGTTTAAGTGCCAGTGTTGAAAGATGTAATATCACATCATGATTCAGTTCTGTTCCTGCCATCTGAACTGTAACTGGCAAGCTGAGACTTTGGTCAGTGTTTGCAAATACGGCTTCTCCCCCACATACTCTAGCAAGGCTACATGTGTATAACTGCTGGTCACATCTTTCTTCCCAAGTCCTTCTCCTCGTGCTGTAGCATTGATTGTCATCTCTAACACAATACTGCCTGCAACATCACTGGTTTTTGTATTGACAGCTTTGTATTTGAGGCCTAAAGTAATTTTCCTGGATGAGATTATCTTGAGAGCCTTCACTGAATATATTGCTATCTCAAAATTACGATCATTTTTGTTTTAGTGTTAATTATGGGGATAAGAAACTAATCTTTCAGATTTTTTCCCTACTTTCCTCTGCAGGAGGATGTTTCATGATAGACCCAGTGTCTCTTTTCATGCAGAAGTTTGCTTCTATTGCACTTCATGCAAGGAATGTTCACAGGGCATTTCTTTTAGTAGCACTGTCAATCTAGGAAAACTCTCTGCCAAGAGACTAGTTTCCACTTCATACTGTCAACCCAACTGGTTATTTTTGGGGAAAGGAATGCACATACCTTACAAAGAAGGAAAAGCAGGTTAAAAATCAGCTTTCAGTAACCTAGCATTAAAATTATGTATTTTAAATCTTGCCCTGGCTAATGGTCAGTCACAAACAGCTTACAAAAACAACTGCTGGGATAGGAGAAAACAGGAAATAAGCAAGCAGGAAGAAAGAATTGAATTAATACTTAATCTGCCTCACGCCAAAAGAAATGGCATAAGAACAGACTGAGAAACTGCACGTTTCTCATTTCACTCCCATTTGCAGAAGACTTCTAGCTTACGCAAGCTTGATGAGTCAATCCATGAATGACTATGCGGATCGTCCTTGCGGTTACATGCCATTGCTGATACATCCACCGAGCCTGGCCTTTAAACAGGAAAAAATGCAGCCAGCTCCCTTCACATGCATTGGCAGACCAGGCACTGCCATAGCTACAGTACCTTTCCAAATCCAAAGAACTGATAAATTTACCATAACAGCAGGAGAACTCTGTCTGTTCCTTCTTTCAGGATTTGGGCAAAGATTTAGATCAGCAGTTCAACAGTCATAACCATGGAATTATTTCACAGTAAATAAGACTTATAAACAGAGTTGGTTTTTTTTTAAGTTTTAAAGATCTGTAGCTTTTGTAGTTTCTCACCTAGTTTTTCCAGAAGTATTTTTAACAACTTTTCGGAACGACTGATTTGCTGAGGATCTTGTAGACATTGTTCTAGGAGAAGCACGAACAAAAGTAGATGGTGGTGTCTTAGGGATCTTCTTTACTAAATGAGTCACCCACTTCTTCTGTTCATCTTGACAGGATGCCAATAACAACATATCTCTTGCTGAAGTTACATCGTAACTCACTAGAAGTAAAAGGAGGAAGATGATTCAGAGAAAACTAGTACTTGTTATCAAAATAATTATGACATACCAGTGCACCACTGGAAAGAACAATGGCACCTATATACATACTTGTATTAGAATTGTTTCTTTTTTTTTGGTAGACAACAAATAGCAGGGGAAATTATGAATATAGTTTCTTTCAATATTTGTCACTCTGCATTAAGATTCTTGATTCTAACATTAATATTCAAGAAATAAGAAAACTTATACTAATTGCAATTTTAATAAGCTGCAAAGTTGTGTGAGTGCCTTATGGCTGAATTCCAGAGTACATACCCCAAAAACTCCACAGGAGCACAGAGAGGAAACCTTTACTCCAATCTGTGGAGTGGCTGAAGAACCATCCTTCAAGGTCTTAATACAGCTTGGCGATGTGGCCCCTGCATTGTCCCTAATGTGGGCCATGTATAGAAGAGAGAATGGTCTGGGAACCAAGGAGCTGCCCAGTACTTGGGCACAAACCTTTGCCCAAGGGCACAGACCCTTGTGCTCTCAGGGTCCTCAGCAGAGCCACATCAGATGCACCACCAAAGGCCTCCCTACAAAGGCTTGCAACAGCTGCCTGTTCATAAGCAGTGTTAACAGCGTATTTTAATAGCACCTTTCACATCTAAAATCGTAACATTAAAGGGTAGAAACCTTTAAACTAAAGTGCTTGTATTTGCCTTCAATAGTTTAGCAGGTCTGGCTAAACATGCAGAGAACACAATGCAAAATACCATAAGCATACCTTTGCATGGTGCAATTAATTCCTCCTTTTTATCCAAGTGGTCTCTATGGCACTTCACATGGCATCTTCGACATTCTAGGGCAGCAGGGGGTTTAAAGACATGCCAAAGAGGTTTGGCACAGGCCTCGCAGTTGGCTGGAAAGTGGTATAATGTTGGAATAAATTCATGGCCTTTGTGATTTAGAAAATTTGTCTTCTCTGCCGGCTGTACTGGTTCTACCTCCAAATCCTTCCTGCATTCCCCCTCATTAGCATAGAGAATCTGAAAAAGAATACTGCTGTGTCATTGCTGCAGCACTACATATATTTTCACATACTTTTCAAAGAAGCCCCCAAACCTTTTCAGGCGAACTAAACAGAAATGAGAATACACTTTTTTTACCTGGAATATTTTAGGAATTTCTTCAGTTTCAGCTCTATATACATCTCCTTGAGTTACAGGCCGGACATGGAACAGCTTACTGGATTAAAAGAAACATGAATCAGAAAATGCTAAAAGGCTACGTACATTTTTAAAACTGTTATCAAAGTACTTTGAAGTTCTTATAAATCTTGTTTATGCAAGTAATATTATATACTGCAATATGCTTTTAGGAATTAATTTGTAAACCATATAGATCTTGCCTACCCAAGCAAGACCAAAACATTTCATAGCATGGAAAGAGGTTTATCTTACAATGCGTTAAAGATCCATCATGGCAGATTTATCTGTGAAAAAGGCTTTCAAATTCTGCCTCAGAACCCTGAGAAGTCTAACTGATTCTTGCTAGAAAAGCTGATTGTCAACCCTGGATGGAAGTAACCATATGACGTATAGTGCTACTCACTAATTTTTTTACTAAATCATTTTGTCAGTTGATAAACAATCAATGCCAAAACACCACAGAAGGCAATCCGGGGCACCAGCTGTTGAAAATGCCATTACAATTTGAACAAACATCATCTTACACTGGGTCAAAACTGTAAGTCCATCTATCCCAACATCCTGTTTTCAACAGTTGCTGTAACAGATGTTTATGAAAAGAGAACAAGAAACAGCTCAAGGAGAAAATAACTCTTTTCCTGGTTATGAGCAATTGGCAGCTTAAGCACTTCCTGAGTTTGAGATTCCTTCCAGACCACTGTATTTGTTAGTCACTGATAGACTTATTCATGAATTTTAAAACCTTTTTTCAATTACTACTCTATAAGGTCCCATAATGTCCATCAGCTGTTCAAACATCACTCTCAGCCATGTATCAGCGATGGGCTTCAGTGATACTCGACACAATTTTCCTCATGTACAACCTATGTAAAGGGATCACAATTCAATTATTTTGTCCCTCTAAACAGAAACCATCTGGGAAAGTCAGAAATGCTTTGGGTTTGATCAACACTGATCCTTGCTCAGACAGCAAGAAAGAGGTATGAAGCAAGCGGATGAGACCTAAAATCTGACAGCCAGTTCCCCATCTATCCCATAACTACCATGCCGTGCTTTAGAAAGCAGCTGATGAAGCACTGAGTCATAAAAAGAGATAGCATAGTATGTATGTATATATCCACTGTCTCTGACCCTTCCCTTTCATAATGAGACAAGGCTCTTCATTTCTGTAAATTCAGACCAGTGACTACTAACAGTACCACACAATTTTACGTTTAACTTTTTCTCTACATTTTAGCAGTAACAGGACAAAGGAAAACCAGTATCTTCTGTTAACGGCATCCTGAAATACAACAGACATTTTCCAACTAATATGGGAAATTAAAAATTACTTATGTAATTTTGATTCCAAGCTTCTGGATTTGTTATCAGTTATCTCACAAACAATGCTCATTTCCCAATTTGTAGCCAAAACTAACAGTAACTTACTCTATATCTAGTACCATGGATGGATTAGACTGGTCCTTGTCCTTTTCATCATTGTAGAACAGTATCTTTTTACTGCTCACCACAACATACTGGGGAAAGAGAGGGTAAAACCAAGTTAAAAGTGCATTTTAAAAAGCAACATTTATCCTACTGTACTCCCATATACATATAAAAAGCCTGAATAAATTAAGGTTTCTGAACTTATATCAGGAAATATTTAAATAATCATGCAGGCAGCTAAGCTATACTACTGACAGCTGTGGAATGCTGTGTATTGTCACTGGAGCACGCTAAAATGCTTGTGATGACAGTCTATCTCTACACAAACCCACAAATTTCAGTTGCTACTGGTGTTTTACTAGGAAAATTATTGTATCGCTGAGAAACTCCTGGAGTGCAGAATCTACCACTTATTGATAAAATTGTAAACAACTTCTCTAGTTCTAGAGACATGCAGGACCCACTGGTACTTTGCACCAAAGTACTGGTAGACTAAAATGGATTCTTAAAGCTCCAGATAACTATTTCCTACACTTTCAATTTAGGGGACTGGTAAAATAAAGAGCTAAAATGAATCAGCAGAAACAGAGGTCTGCTATACATTCCAAGTCCAGGAATACACTGAGACAGTAAGGGGAAGGTTTGCAGAGGAGAAGAAAAGAAATGGACGTTCTTTTGCTACATGTCACTTTAAAGGTCAAACCACACAGTTTTCTTCCAGAGTGGTAAAGACGTTAAAGAACAGAAGCATTGGGTAATGTGTTGGTTAGTTTTTTCCTCACAGTATTTTAAAAATTCTTGCTCAAAATCTGCATATTAATATGCCTAAATGCCACTGAAAAAGTGAAGTACTCTCAAATGCATTGGATTCTGAGGAATAAGTAAGAGCTACTGGGAAGGCACTGTGATTTTTAGAGCAGGAGTGGACTGCAGGCCTCATTTCCAAGAGAATTCCCAAATGCTGAGAGTGTGTCTGCAGTGACTGCCCTCTCAACCCAAAAGGCCCAAGCAAGGATGCTGTTCTCAACCTAAAGTACACAGCCACCCTTCCAGTGCTACTCACAATCACACAGAACTATAAACATTTCATCATATGATAGGAAAAACAAAGCAAGCTGCTCTGAAAAGGAGTTCTGTAACACAAACGCCAGTTAAGATCAAACACCTGTAACCTGAGCACTTCCCAGTGAGTTCAAGCCAGTAGAATTCACTGCCCATTGCTCTTCACTGGGAGCTGCCAGTCCAACATCTTTGCTAAAACTGTCCATAAGCACAAGCTCAGAGACAGCTGTGCCAGTTCCCTCCCCTGCAGTTTCAAATATTTCAGGAACATTGTATTAAAAGGTATGAGGTACTAAGGAGGATTAAAAAGAGGCAGGCAGACTGCTCTGTCTAGACTGAGCTCCAGATTCAGGTATAACATAACCCAGAAGCAAGGGAAATGACAGAAAAGCAGAAGAGTGAATATACAAACAGTTTATCTTGAATTCCAGTTACTGGCAGGTAACTGAATCGGTTTCTGCATCATGCAGGTACTGACAATTTAAGTAAATGGTGTTTACTCCTCTACAAGAGAGGGTTGAACCTCCTCATCACACAGGATTTTAAGTGTGACCTTAAAACCTGAATATGAAAGTTACCTTCACAAGTTTATAGATTAGCGTTTTTAAAACGTGTTGTACCAGCTGCTTGCTACAGTTGTGCACCTCAATTACTGAAATGCATCTAAAAAAGCCACAAAAGCGTATTTTTCCCCTTGACTAAAATGGCTTTTGGCCCCTTAGTCAGGTTTCTTTAATAGAAAGCTTGGTTGACATGAACAGGCACTAAGTTGTAATGGTGCGAGCCTCTTGTGTTTTTCGCCACTGAAGAAAAAGAGCCTGTGCTTCAACACCTTTTATCTACTTCAACAGAAAGCTAATGCCGCCTCTGTCTTCGTAGTCTGCACCTCTGCCTTTCACAGACAAGAGCGAGGCCTTAAGATGATGACTACAACAAGTGCAATTCTGACTGCAATGAAATTCAGTTATCACACTGTATACAAGTCTTGGTGAAAGAACAATTTAACCTCACAAAAGTTAACCTCACAATGGCTTCAACATCCTGGTGTGAACATTCAAAATACATCTTCTGACAGTAGTTTGTCACCTCTACTTGGGATGAAGTTCCAGATAAAAATATGGCTAACCTATTTCAGTGTTAGCTTGAGGTATAACTCAACTGTTTCTTCTCAGATGCATTTTCCACACTCACCCCTTTCCAACTTAAGCTAAATGAATTGGAAGGCACGGGACAAACCCAACAGTGCTACTGACTTTTGAGTCAGAAACGCAGCAGCTTAAGTTGTAACAACTCAGGCATCAAACCAACTGCACTGCTAATGCAGTTTTGTTTTCCCTTTAATTTAAGTTAATCTGGGCATGCCTGTATTTGAGGTTGCATACCCCCCACCAACCCTTAAATTGAAAGCACAGAAGAATTTGGAGCAGAAGCACCCGAAGAAGCTGACTCCAAGCCAGCTTGTTTCTGATGCACTACAGTTTAGCGAACAGAATGCACAAGTACGTCAACATAGCCCCTCACTACTTTGTCTCACTGGTTGGAACTTCAGCTAATTTAAGCAATCTCATCAGTGTGACTCATTTTATAACAGAGGCATCCATCTGTAGCTCAAATTCCTTGGAAGTGCAAGAACTATTATTCAAACTAGGTAAACATGAGCGGAGTAACTTCATAAAATATCTTGAGGGAATGAAGTATGCCTATACTGGACATGCCTAAAGAAGCTCAGCTACAATCTTCCACTGAAAAAGCTTCAGAAGTTTAAAATTTTAACCATCAGAGCATGCAAGAATAATCTGCATTTATAGAAGACAACCAGAAAAGGCTGCTGGAGGTATTCTGTCAGGAAAATGATGCAGTATTTTAGACAATCCAGAGCAGAGTGAAGCTACATGACTTGTGCCTAGGCACAGCCACTTCCATTCATGGATGCTGACAAAAGTCTGACAGTAACCTGGAGGATCAGTTCTGGAACAACAGGAGTCAAGCAGCCTTAGCTATCAAACAGAACAGAGAAGCTTTCAGTGTGAATCAGCAATTTACATCGAAAGTATAATGAATAAACTGAGTAACTTCCACTACTGGTCTTTGAATACAAGGAAGGAAGGTTAGGGGAAATAAACTATTTCACACAAATTGCTTGCAAAATTTACAAAATTCCAGTGACCACATTCACTTTTGCAATTTGTTATACTAAAAGATGTTCAAAGAGGGGAACTGGAAAGCCAGAAAACATAATCAGAAACCAGTTCTAAACTTCTAGGCATCTCAATTCGAACATTTGAAGTTTCAGAGAACCAGATCATAACCTCTGCAGAGGCAAACAATATTGCTTTGTTTAGATTGTTGGGAATTCCAGCACAGAGGTCCAGTTTTTGAGAGTAAACCAGTTCTTTTCAAGAGAGACTGGCAATTTTAAAAGTAAGGGAAACGGAAATGTCCTTGGAAATCATGTGTGGCAAGTTATAGTGTGATGCACTCTTCCATGGCCTTCAGAACACGTGTGGCATTCCCTACTTCGTGCTGTCAAGTTGCACAGAGAGTTTACATTTCTCTAACAGGATTATAAAGAAGCTTATGCAAAGGGAAAATGGGATTTTAATGGTTCCAAGATGCCCACTGTAAAGCATTTCTTCACCTACCTGTCGTAAATTTCCACGTTATTATCACAGATTTCATACTGAACTTGAATTTTCTTACCAGATTTTTTCTCTTCAACAGCGTAATGTATAAACACTAAATTACTCTAATTATTTTGTTTGTTTCTTAAATGTGAGCTGTAAAACTAATTCACCATATGCCTAAAAAACTTTCCAAGTGAGTTGAGGAAGAAGAAAAATCCATTTGTACCTGTTTCTTCCAGCCATGTCGCTTTATATTTCCTTTGTTTGGTATCGAAAGCCAACCTTCAAGTCTTGATTCTGGTTTAAAAAAATATGCATTATTTAATAATTTTATGTATTTATAATGATAAAGCAGAATAGCATAAAAGCAAACTATTACCAGAAAGGAAGCTGTACTACATGCAGTCATATGAAATTACCTATTCAGCAAAGCGGAATAAAAAGCACAGCTAAACAAAATGAAGACATAAGTATTTACTTCATGCTTCATCACAGGCTAACACTTGATGATACAGTTACTGCAAAATAAAGTGAAGCTGTTTTCCTTGATGCCAACATCTAACACTGCATGTAAATAGTTTGCAAAGAGCCAGGCAGGAAAGGCTTTGCTCTTAAAATGTGTTACAGCTTAAATGGAGAATGATTAAGATATTTTCAATATAAACATAATTTAACAATCAGAGAGGCTACATGAAAATACTCAGCAGTGCAAGTAAAACAAACCAGATCCACATTTTCCAAGGGAAACAAAAAAAGGAGAGCGCACAAGAGCAAGCAAAGCTACATGGGTGACCCATTACTCACAGGAGATAAGCATAGGAGATAAATAAATAAGGAATGCAGGAAGAATCAACTAGATATAAAGAATAAGAGACAAGTGTTTTATTAACATTTTCAGTGGACAATTGCCCAAAGAGTAGTGTAGTAACTTATTTTCCTACCACAAAACTACTGACATAATTTAACAATGATGCAAAGAAGCGTCAGAAGAAAATCAGCATTCTGCCTAATGTGATTCATAGATTCACACACCCCCCCCCAGCTAACTGAACTCATTTTTGATAAATTATGAAAACAGGTAATGGCAGCAAGAAGCTATTGTGATTCTATTCATCTGAAATGATGCAGTAAACAGTCTCACAATTCTGTAAATGTGAGAAGGAAGTAATCGAAATTTCACTCTATATTTATGAATTTATTTCACAATTGAGAAAAACCTTGTACTTTTTTAATTACCGTAACAATGTGATTTGCAATTAAAAAAGTGTCAAGAGTATGCAAATACAGGCGACAGCCAATGTATGCATTCTTTACCATAAACTAAACTGGCAGCACTGAAAACTTCAAAAACACTGAGTTAAAATTTGCTGAAACAGTCTTCACAAATATTTATGCAAGGAGAAGCCACTGGTCCCTTTTATCCTTCTGGGCTAACTCTCTATGAGGTGTAGCTCAGCAAGCTCTGAAAATCCATCCATAAAATATAAAAGTCCATACACTTTTAATGTAAAATTACAGTGAGACTGACAGCTTGGCCTTCTACAAGACATTAAAATTAGGCATAAAAAACTCTTCACACATTAGCTTTACAGTATAAAATATTTACAAGTGAACTACACTTAAAACCAGAATTATTTCCTAACACTTCTCCATACAGAATCACTTCAAAATACTGGGGGACCACTGAACTATTGAAATTCTAACTGGAAGAAACACATGTTTGCAGAACTCATTCCAGTAAGAAACCTTCCTGGAAAAATGAAGGAAATTTGTATTTCCCTGCCTCTTATCTCTACATAAGAATTGCTGGGGTGGGTGTTGCCCCCCCAGACCCCTCCCCAGTTCTTAATATTCGGTAACTTTGGAAAAGGAAACCTATTTGTTCATGTCTGCAGGCATCACAGATAACGCTGCCCCTATTCTGAATACCTTGAATAGTTTTTACACCAAGAGAGAATTCTGTAATTTTTAGAAATTTTAGAAATATCCTAAAACTTAAGTCCTCCATTGCAAAATAAAGTTATTAACTGCTAATAAAGAACACAACAACTATGATTCAAAAGGAATATAGTATGGATGACTGTGATTTGAAAGGAGTAAGTATGCATCTGTGGAAACTGTGGCGTATGAAAAGCTGGACAGATCCAGTAATGCTAAATTTTAAAAGATGCACCAGGTTCTATGCTGCTTATAGGGACAGCATTAGCAGGAGTTCTTCTAAGTTCCCTTCTATTTCACCATGTTCTAAAAGAAATTTCAAAGGAAGTAGAAAGTGGATGAGCTATTACAAATTAATCCATTTGCATTCTTTTCTGTCTACTACAGATCTATTTATTGAACAAATTCTATTTGCATGAGAGATGATTTCTGAGCTGTGAATAACGTCTTGCAGTTGAAAATAACAGTTTCTGAATGTACTCCTTTTCAACAAACCTAATGTTTGTCTAGAACCAAATGTACTCTTGAAAGGGTAGATGAGCTCTTTCGTTCCAACCTTGCCACAAAGGTTTGTCTCAAGTAATATTTATAGTGCATTTTAATTTCCATTAACAGAGTTAGCTAGTACAACTGCAAATGCTCATCTGGCATTTCAAAAATATTTGACCCAGAAGAATATTTATGACTGTTCTGATTAAGTAATTAAGAAAATATGGGCTATCTAGATGACGATTAAGAATCTTCCATTCCTGTCTTTAAAAACAGGCTCAAAACTATTGCCTGACAACTTCCCTGTATTTTGGAAAGAATCCCAGAATTGATACTCCATATTTCCAATCCAGAAAATCCAAGATAGGCCTCCAAAATATCTGATGGCAAGCTGGACTGAAAAGAATACAAAGAAAGAATTCCATGAAGGCTACAGATCTTGTAATTATCTCTGAATATAAATAAAAATGTGGATTTGCATTATAAACATCTTCATAGTATTCATATTGCCAGGATTCATTGTGATTCAGTATGATAAATGCGAGTTCTTCCAGTAAGTCTTCAGTAAAATCACGCAAGACAACCATGACTGTACTGATTTACTGTGCTTTTAGTTGTTTTGGAGCTAAGTAATACAGGCCTCTTCATGAGCAGCAGAGCATCTCTTTCCAGTGTTCAAGAAAGCCTACTCTTCAGACACTTCCATAGTAAGCAAAAACCTGGAGATACTAACTTGTTAATTCTTTCCAGTCCATCCTTTCCATCTAATTCCTTCCTTCCTTGGACTGACTTACTATAATTTCACGTGGATCTCACCAAGGATTGCTGGCTGGATCTTGCTTTGAGGTTTCTTCAGGTGACAGCTACTTGCAAGTATTTCAGAAAGTCTTATGTGTCCCATATTCCAAACAAACTGTTGGCTTAAATGGTCCATGTTTATTATTCCATCCTATCTTTGTGTAAAACGTTATTCGTAACATACACTGTAAAATATTATGTGCTGCAGTTAAAGCTGTAGGACAGCTCAACTGCTTAAATTATCTTGTCAGTCAGATGAAAAAAATTAATTCACAACAGGTTAAGTGCTCTGTAACAATGAGGATAAAAACCCTTAAGCTCCTGCTTATGTTTTGTCTTGGCAAAGAAGAACTCAATCATGTGAGTATTAAGACTTCCTAAGTCCAGCCAGGAGGAAGAGGCATTCTAAAGGCATAATTAAAAAGCAACTATTTCAGCTGTTTCAGCAAGAACTAGGTTAACACTAGAGACATCAACTGAGACATGAGCTGCTATCTGCATCAATAATCAGGAGTGAGAGGTACAAAAAATGCCTAGAACTGAACACAAGGAAAATCTTCCTCCCAGTCATGATCTTTCCCATCTGGTGAAGCAAAAGCCTAAGAATAGCCTGGATTGTTTACACGAGCCCGTCCCTACCTTGGGAGCAGCGTAAGTTGCCCTGGGAGCTACCAGAACTCGAGAAGGTACTTAGCTCAACAAGAGACACAAAGGACCTCCAAGTAAGACACAGCTGTAAGGTGTGCTACCATGTGGTTTCTCTGTATCTACCTCCAAATACAGAAAACTTTTCCTTACATTTTTTTCCGAGTATTAGGAATTTATTTTAGTATTTATACAAAGAGTGCCTTCTGATCCCAAAATTTTACAGGATGCTCTTCCTGCAAACTATGAACTCTACTCTTGTAGCCTCTCTGGTGGCTGGTAACCTAAGCTCCCTGATTAGACAAGATACTACCCCATAGCCTAAACCTCTTTGCCGTGAAGGAGGACTGCAAAAAATGACAAGGGTCTCTCTGGAATTCTGCCAACATTACTATCATACCGCTTCATACCAAGTTTTTTCTCAATTAAACCAGAGACTGCCCATGACCTGAATGGAGACCATGGAATCATTCTCTAAGAAATATTTACATTATGTTGTCTTTTCATTTTTTCCCTGGTGATGTTTTGACTTTGACAGGAAACTTAATAAATCATACTCTAATCACTTATTTAGTAATTCTACTACTATTTAGTAAATATTTGTAAGGAATGTCTTTTCCTTAAGAACAGATGCATCAGCTAGAGAATCCTATTGACTACTCATCACATCCAACTCTTAAACAAGATGTTATTCAAGGTGCTCTGAAGGAATGCCTATGTTTGGGCTACAAAAGCGACAGGAACTTAGCACACGAAGACAAAGTGTGGAAGACAAACAACTTCATACAACTAAATCGTAGCAAATTAACTGCTGTGCTATGTCACCTTCTGTTTTGAAGATTAATTACTTGGTTTGCAGAAAAATAACTATGCACTGAATAATTTCCTCTTTCTGTGGCATAGGATATTTCTACATTAAAGACTGGCATTTTTTTTTCTTCCTTATAATGCTAGTGCTGTCCTTCTCTGGCCTCTACTTGGCTCTGACAAATGTGTGAAATCTGACTATACTAATGCCACTTAATCTTTTTCATTACCTAAATTGCTTCTTGTTCAGATCCTGATCGACTCAGAGCCTCACTCAAAAAAAAAAAAAGCAACATGTAGGGACATGATCTCAAACTAGAGCCCAGTTAATATGTATTAGAGGTCCTACCTGTATGACACAGTAACACCAGCAGCACAACTGCAGTAAAAATCACAGGCATGCGTAGAGAAAAGGGCAAAAAAGAAGACAAGAAAAGTGAAAGGCTAGCAAAAAAGAAATAGTTAGGGGGGGTCACAAGTATAGAAGACGAAGAGGAAGACCACAAGAACTTCCAATAATTTTGATGTTCTAATTACCAATGGAAAGATTACAGCTGACTTGAAAAGACCTTGCACATACTGAAATTTCTGCCCCAAAACTGAAGTGGCAGGTCACACAGCCAGAAGCCTGGCTACACACGTCTCCAGAGGTAAAACTGAAAATAACATACCTTAATGAGGCAAAAAAAAAGAAAGAGCTTATCCTACAGTGTTTCCAAAATCCCAGAGACAACAGGGTCATATGGACATCCTAACACCCTTAAGAGGAAAGAAAGGAAGGTGCCTATGCCCCAGTGGAGGCACTGGGTGTTTTCAATGTAATACACAACAGGTATTATACTGAAAATGGCTGAGAAGGAAAGTGAGGAAGTTCAAAACTACTCTTTTATGTAGAATAAATCTAATCTGCTTTCTTGTAGAAAAATTTAAGCTCTCAATTTACAGGAGTTCAGAAATTTTCAATTAAAAAATACGAATTACAGTGTTCTTCAGTTAGGAGACACCATCAAACATAAGGCTTGATTTTACCCCAGTTAAATGGAATACACTGAGAATCAGTACCTAAGAGAAAAACTCCTGAGAAATACTGACAGTTCAGAAACACCACAGGGAGTTCCTAGCAGGTGACAGCTAAGGGAAAAAAAAAAGTTCCTTCACCAATCTAACAGCTCTAAGAATTCCAAATACTGGGTTTTGATGGAAGTTTGGACCAGATGTTTCTGAAAGGAGTAAAACACACATTTACTTTATAAGACAGCAACTGCCTGAGGGTTTTACAGATCAACTTCAGAGAGCAAAAGGCTTCTTGGACAGAATGGAAGTTGTGACAAAGACTGTATCATTATCTGAATGAAAATCTATTCTAGAACAGAATTCATTTAAATATTAACTAAAAATGAAAATCTAAAAATATACTAGGGGAAGACTGGACACAAAAATGGACACAGAAATTAATAAGTTCATAAAAACATATACTAAGTCTCATAACCTACCTGAAATTTCAGTCACTCTAAGAACCCTGGAAAAACTCTAGACTCTGGCAATTTGAACAGCATGAAGTGCATTGACAGGAAAAGAGACATCTACAATGATTCTATTTACTTTTATCTGATCATTCATCCATTGAGGTCTTCAAATACCCAAAAGAGTATTCTATTTTCACGTTTGAGTATTATTTTTCTACACTAAAAACCAGACTGTAAATCTGTAAGACAAGCATTTATTAAGAATTTAACAATGAATTATAAAAACTATTTTTAAAAAAACATAACTGCAACATGGGAAAATTGTTAAGCAGTGCTTATTACCGCTAAACTTTTTTTTCATGTATCTATAGAGATACAGAAGTGGACCACATGAAAGTACAAAGTGATTACACTTTTCAAACATTGTGGAGGGGTGGGGAGGAATCACTAACCAGTGTCAAAATATAGTGTCTGGAACTGACGCTACATGGAAATGGCTAACTGTGCTGTATTACTTGTTCTTATTTTAATCTGCTAAATCAGAATACCGTACAACCATAAATGCATTATGGAAATTTCTACAATTCTTTTTCACATTGGCAATTATTGTTACTTGTCACAAAGGTGCTACAGGACTGTAAGAACAGACAAGATCAAGGCACTTTTGCATTCAAGCTATAGAATACAATCATGATGATGTGGAAGTGCCGGCCCTGTATTCTATTCACTCGACACTACACATTGTATTCACTAAATTCAAACAGCAGCACATGTAAAGATACTCTTTCCACAAAAGTGGATAAAAATTATGCAAATACCAAGACATACGGTGGGAAGAGTGACGTGAGAAGAAACTAAGACTTAAATATGAGCAGCTAAGCTGTGAAATACAAAAAAAAAAAAAGGAAGTGGAGATCTGATACAGAAAGAGACAGCCAGAAGATTTTAAAAGGCAGTAGTAATCTGCTTGAAGCAATACCTTCCAAAACTGTGTGTATGCACAAAATCATGTAGCTCAAATACGCTTTTCTCTTACCTGAAAGATTTCCATCTGTTTCATCTGGCGGGAGACTTGCAACACTGGTAGAATCCATTCCTTGCTGGAGGTCCAAAATTTTCCTTCGGAGCTGTTCTATGTCACTTTCTTTACTATCCAGCTGCATCTGGAGCTCATTCCTGTATGTAGATTCTTCTGCTAGTTGCTGTATTTACATACACATGCATAGTTACTGTGATACCAAAACTACAGCAGCAAAGTATTCTGAAAACAAAACTCATTACTATTTTTTTTCATTATCTCTAAATACTTTGATAGCATTAGCATAAACTATTACAGTAGAAGTGCTTGTTCAACCTTGGAAAAAAGTTAAATATCAAAGACGCGGCAATGCATTCAAGTGCAAAATAGAGTGATTTATCTATTAAATTACCATTTGTTTTGAAAAGGAGGCCACCTACCAGTGAAATAAACTGTATAAATAGTATGCTACACAGTATTTAGTTTTTTAGTCTTCATAACATATCAGTAACTTTCACAGTTAAGAATTTAGAAAGGGGAAATGAGTGAGAACAAGCACAACTGCACACTTGACAAGTTCTCTGCCTCCCAAAAATTCTGTAGCCTAGAACACGTGAAACAGAACTTGTTATTTTTTCAAGCAGACTAGGAGCTACACATTTGTCCTACAGAGAAAATTCCACAACATGACAAAAAAAATTAAGATTATTTTACCGCTTGCATTTCATTGACCTCCTTTTGGTATTTCACTACCATCTGATTGAACTTCTCTTTTTCTTGATTAAGTTCTAATTGGAGCTTTCGGTTTTCCTTCTCTTTCTTCCTCAAATCTTGCATGTTAGCTTTCTTTCTGTCTATTTTAAAATCTTTCCGATTCATTATCTCAGCCAGTTTGTTGACAGCCTGTTATGAAAAAGGAAGATCAATTAAAAAAATTTATACATAAGCATGTTTCATACAAAAAGTTCCTCTAGTTATAGGATTTGATCCAAAATAATCTTCACCAACATAAATGATCCTTACTTATGACACAACATCAGTACACAGGATCAAAATTATTCTTTCAACAATAAATATCAACAATGCATATTATACATCTTGGTTAACAGAAGCTTAATCTCAAAGGAACTAAGAGTTAGTTGCACAAAAACCAAATTGAAGATATATCTGATATGCAAAGTAATTATTGTTATTAATTTACATAAAAAGTTATACCTGCGTCTTCAGAGTTCTTTCAGTGTTGATGCTCTTCTCATAATGCATTCTAATATTATTGATTTCCTCCTCAATTTTCATTTTGTATTCTGTTAAAATAATATTCAACGTTGAGGTATTTTAGGACAAGGATAAGAGAAATATTTCTAAGCTTACTCTACAACTACAGCTACTCTACTTCTACAACTGCATCTTTTTTTTCCCTCCGTTTTCCCGTTGTGTCACTTAATGTGCAAAATACAGTTATACAGGTTGCAACGATAAAGGTTACTGGTTTAATACTGGTTAATGTAATGACAGAAAATCACCAGAAGAATTTATCAGAAAGGTACCAAAATGAAAAACTAAAGCCAATGTATGTATTTTTGTTTCCTGGCAATGACTAAGTTTGTTGCCTCACTTCCTTCATGTTTGCACTACCAAAGATGTTTCTGCAGCACAGAAATTATTAAGTCAGTACCCACACAGAATAAGACTGATATGACAGGACTCACATTAGGTACAGATTTTCAAATCAGGCATAAAGAAAATATGGGGGAAAAGGCTTTCTTTAAACAAGGAATGATTCAGTTACGTTGTCCCCTCATCACACATCAGTTACTCAACTCTACCAGTCTTCTTATCACATCTCCAGTCTGCTGATTTGTTCTCAAAGTTTCTAGAAGTATGCATTTCACTGACAAGGATTTCTTCACCAAAACTACAGTTAAAGAACAATTCTCAAGTACTTCAGAGTAACAAACTCCATGAACTAAAAAACACTGAAAGCTGCTTGCTCACCCATTCCCTGTATTACAGAAATGCAGAACTAAGGGAAAATATTTTTGTATGCCTTCCTGCCTACATAGTGTTTGCAACAACAGTGGCAACACAACTGATAAGGCCTTTACTCTCATAGTCTACAGATACTAAAGCATGCATTCCAATTTTATAATGCCTGTTCAAATGCAAAGCCATGAGAGTAAACTGAATAACTTTCCATATAGTCAGAATGCATATAGAGAGAATGCCAGTCCACTGATACATGGGAACTCACAACTCAGATTCTGAATCTAAGTGAAATCTTAAGGAAGTTGTAATACTGATACTGCTTTACTGTAAATACTGGAAACGGAAACAAAAGCTTTAACAAATACATCGCGTAACATGAAATGAACAAAATACTTTTCCTTAATAACTTGCATGCACACAAGAGCATGGGTGGGAGAAGGGATTAGAAAGACAATATATGGATGAGCTGTACTGGACAGGCATCCCTGACTATGCCTGCAGGAATTTAGTGCTAACTTCAAATTTAATTGTGCTTCATAACAGATGAATTAAAACACCCAACACAACATACCTTCCTCCTGTTTCTTAATTTTTTCACTGATCTCTGAATTTTCCTTTGTTATTAAATCGACATCTTTGGTTAATGTGCTATTAGTTTCTTCCAGCTACATGAAAACAAACACATTTTAAAATAAAGAACTTGTTATAAATTCTAAAAATATAATTTGGTCTAAGTCAAAGCACATGTACACAGGTTTGGAAAAACAATTGAAAGGAAAACCATTACACTATGAATATGATAGCTGCCAGAAGACACAATCAGGACCACTTTGCTAACCACTTAACAAATACATATTAAAAACCAGACATAACTGCATTCCTGTAAAAAGGTTTTGTTTGAAGCCTATAGAAATGATTGCGTATTGAGCTGTCTGACAGAATTATCACAATATTTGAAACCAACAAATACACTGGCAAGAAAGTACTCCAGCAATGCCACAGAAAGACAGTTTTCTGCATGCTTCTTAAGAAATGGTGGCATTCTGGAGATTTCAAGCTTATGAAAGAAAACACGTGTAACAAACACTACTTCCCATATCTCTGCCCAGAGGTGTAACACCCCTGGTAGCGCTAACAGAAAGCTATGAGCAATTGATTTGAAATAAGTTACGCCTAGAGTTTTAGTGAAGTATTACATCTCCAGAATTCTTCAGAAAATCTGTATAGCTGATGCTACATGGAAAAAAAAACAGTAATGACAAAATAACTATGCTACACCTGGCTTGCTGTTTGAAACTCCTCAGTTAAGACATTTATCAACCTGATAATACTCAAGAGCTACACTATAAAGTATCTTCAAAAATTACAGTTTGGGGTTTGATTTTGGTTTTACTGTTGTGTTTTAATAGTTTACCAGTGGGAAGAAAATCAAGACTTTCAAGTCGTTGGTTTTTTTTAAAGTCTAAGTAATTTTGCAATAAAAGTCTCTAATACACAGCTCCACAAATTTACAAGATTTTAAAATACATTGGGCAATGACATGTAGTGATTACAAAAGGCCTAATATTTGAATTATAGATATTTGCTGAATTTTCAATTTGGCTTCACCTCAGATTCATCAAGTCTACATTTCCTTGGGAGTTCACATGATGGGATTTAACTATTTAAGGTTCCAACTGAATCCAAATCTCAGATACTTAAATATTTATCACTTATGACCACAACAAGACTCTAAGATAAATTTCTGTTTCCAGGTGGAGGATACAAATAGGTATTTAATTACAGTGGAATAATTTACCCTTCTTATGATGCTGTCCTTATCATTCATTTCTTGCCTGTGTCTTGATGCAGCTTTTTTGCTTTCTTGACTTAGTTCAAAATACTGTTCTTCAAGGAGTGCTCGTGCCAACCGTTCTGACTCAGCTTTGGTTTCAGCTAAATCCAGCTGGGTAGTGAGTGTTTCTCTGTGAAAAGGACATTAAGATTTTGTTCTCCTATGCAAAACATGCCAAATTTTCAGGAAGACTAAAACCCTCAAATTATACCATTCAGCCATTTGTCGTTATCTTAGTTGCTTAAGAAAAACAAGATTTACAAAATCACACACTGTACATTTTTATCGTTTGATGATCCACACAAGTTACAGCAGCAAGCTTACTATAATTAAATTAAAATTTCAATCATCCATGAAACTCCAAGCCTTAGGAAACCAGGTGACAAATCATCGTGCTTTTGAGAAACAAAAAATAAAATTAAATTGCACGTTCAGTGTGATTCATCAGAAGATACTTAACCCTATCAGTGTTAACTACACTTTCACATAAGATTACTGTTCATGAAGATGTGTGCCCCAGACTGTCTGAACAAGAAGGAAAATGGCATAAACTTTCTGAAAACATACAGTAGTTCTGTACCTATGCAACCTATTGCAGAATGGCTTGCAAATTCTATCTACAGCTTGAGAGGCAGGAGGGAGTAATTTTGGTGTAGTATCTCATCAATGTATACACAACTTCTAACCAGATCAGCATAGAAGCCAAACTTTCTTGCTCTTGCTTGGAGTACAGCAGAGCTCCTATAAATCTGCCTGGAAAGAAACCCAGATAAAGCACAGCGGGAAGTCTAGCACTCACATGTCAGATGTGACACAGCCCACACAATGCTGAGATACAAGTGGCAATACATTACTGAGGTATGGGCGCATGACAGATGCCTTTCCTGCACTACAAATTAAAGAGACATTTATGCAATGAAGTATGTATTGCTATGGAGTCCACTGATTTGACTTCCATCCTTATTTGCTAACTTAGAAAATAGTACAACACAATTAATGGTTGTTGGATTAACTGGTTTTACTGTAATCAGAAGTATCCTGAACTTAGAACTCAAAGCATTTCCATTATCTCTTTCTCAAATTATTTTACTGGCTATAGAAATATACCAAGCAATTATCAGGATAATACAGTCAAATTTTAAAATCTGTTACACAAGGAAGATGATTACCACAAATTGTAATGTTTTTTCAAAATTTTGCATAGTCCTAAGTTCTCAGAAGTCCTCATTCTTCTTCGAAACATTACAAATACAAGTTCAAAGCAAACATGAATAATCGTATTTGGATTTGTAAGTTGGCATAGGTAACATCCTATGTATTTGTGACAAGGTGTTATGGAACACTTTTGAGACCTATCTTTTTCTGAAGGAATTAACATTTTAAATCTCATTCGAAATCTTCATGATTGAGACTGTACTAGATGGAAAAACTTATGGCTATTTGAGAAACACAATGGGCATACTTTTCATTTTGCAATTCCTGCGTTTTTCTTTGAGTTTCTTTATTCTTTTCATCAATTTCCTCTTTCAGTTCCTTAACCTGAGTTTTGTAAAGTGTCTGCAAAAGAAAGCATAAAAAAAGAATCATTATTCAAATTCCAGAGTGAAATTCTTCATCATTTTCCTACTGGTTGGTTTGTATCTGTCAAACCCTAGCACGCGCAAGTGCCATCTTTAATGGAATTTCCTCCTTCCTGCCTGTCCGAGATGCTCCTTTCCAGTTTCCCTTGTATAGGGAACTGATGTGACCAGGTTAGTTTTCAATTTTCTACTCTGGTTTCCTACACAGTTCTATGAACACATCTGCTGACAAAACGGAAGGAAGACCCGAGGACACAGCTGAGCAGATCTCTTGGAGACAAGAATACAAAACTGCATCCTGTGGTAGCATCACTGTCTCAAACTGTCAGTCAAAACAAGCCTAACACTGTCCTACGCTTCCACCTGTTGTATTCTCTTTGTAACCATGTGTTTTTTCTCTTAGACTACAAGTTTTTTTGTGTACAGACTGACTTTGTCTTTAACAACTGCTTCAGCAGAGGTCTAATTTATGTGAATGACTTCTGTTCTTAGTTACTGTGTTGTTGTTAACAACACCAGTAATTCTGAAAGTCAAAGTTTGATCTTCTAGTGTAAAGTACTTTTGCTAAATATTCAGACTGAAATACAAATCTCATTTAAACTACATGCAGTGAAAAAAACTGAAAACTGAGAATGAAACACAATACTCTGGATCATCTTATTAGCAGAAAGTTATGGAGAAATGCACAAAAGTCTGTAACGCATAATTAAATTACAATCATAGGCAGTTTAGTAAACACAAAAATTTTTATTGCCTCTCCAAGTAAGAGCTGAATTTAAAATGTACTTCCCGAAGTGAAATGAAACCACAGTCACGAATGTATTTGAAGTTCAGGCATTATAGATCATTTCATGCTATTGTTTCTTCCCACAGAAATTAAGCAGCTCAAGCTAAAACTACAAAATACACATTTGGGCTACTTGGAGAACCAAATAAGGCTTCTTTAGAGACTCAGGTGCAAAGCAGGTATCTTTCTAGGAGGAATACAGGCACAATGCTACTGGATCTTAAATATACTTTGGGTAGATCAATAGCATGAAATATATTCCAGTAAGTGTGGAGATTTTTAATTCTCTACAAAGTTTGCAATTATGCTAGAGAAATATCTCTTTTCCAACTCAAATACAGGTGCTACTCTGATGGATAATTCAGATAGGGGTTACTCCATGTAAGATCTGACAAACTACAAAGCAATATATTAGACTATCTAACGTTCTCTATTTTTTCGTTCATTGTTTGTATTTCAAGCAGGAATTTGTGAATTGCTGATTTATGTCATGTAGTTATTTACATTTTAAAAATGTTAATATGTCAAACTATTCACTGTTCAATGGTTCCATGTTAAAAGGTAACCCTCACAATTGTTTGCAAGTCTTACCGAAAAATACTGTTCAGCTTCAAGCTGATCCTGAAGCTCACGCATTTGACCTTCATTTCCCCTGTACTGTCTTTGAAGGAATAAAAAAGGAAAATATGTAAAACTCGGCTACTAACAAATGACAAATACAAATTCTAACCAGAACAACATCCTATGAAGATCCTACAGTTGCACACATATTATTTCACAAAGACCAACAGTTCACTGTATCCTAAAAGTCTGATTTAATTACATTTTTTATTCTACCCTGATGATTGTTTCAGTATGTAATTTAGAAGACAAGAAGTACTCCAAATGGGGAAATGTTAACAGCTGAAGGAAGGTATGATAGAAGCCTAATAAATGAAAAATATCTTCAGTCAGCTTATGAAATGTTAAGAAGAAGAATCAGGTAGTTAAAGGGGAAAAAAGCTATTGACACCCATGTAGTAAAACTAGAAGTCCTACATGATTTAATAAGTAGTATCATAGTCAATCCATAAAGAAGTCACTCAACTAAAAGCGTTGAGCATATATGCCTTTACACAGAATGATGAACCAGAAATTGTTCCGCATCATAGCTCGTTACAAAAATATTCCAACACTTAAGGCTACTTACAGATATCATAACATGCAGCCAAAAATATTCTTTGAGTTTAGGAAAAAATGCCTATGCACTAGAGAAATTTTTTCACTAATAGGAACTGGCAAAAGAGTACATGTATAATTAAGCAACTTTTTCCATTTTACTTCAGATTTTTACTTACTTAGCAAGCTGAGCCAACTCAAATTCCAGTAGTCTCTTTGCTTCCAACAGCGTATTGATTTCCTGTTTCAGCTGCTTCTCAGAACCCTTCAAGTTATCGGCTTCAAAAGCCTGTGCCTTCAATTCATTCTGTGCCATTATTCGCTTATTCGTCTCTTGTTCTAGCTGAAGTGTTAAATTCTTGACCTAAAGGAGAAACATTTCAATTTAGGAGCATTTTCTGAATAACCAAGTGCACCATATGTGGTTGAAAGTGTTGAAATCATCTATGGATTATTTAATGTCAAACACCATTGCCTAGATTCTACACATTGTACAATGTGCAAAAATATCCCTCCATCAATTTCAGTGCAACAATTTTATAGAAAATTGTTCTGTCCTTCCAGAACATACTGATACTGATATGATGCTGCATGATGATGAAGCTTCCTCATGCTTAGCTTATTTCAAACGTGTTTTTTACCTTATCTTAAATGCAACAGTGGAAGAAACCTAAATTGTCTACTGAAAGGTCCTGCAAGCCCCTCTGTGGATTTCAGATCTTAAAAAATTTTCATACTAGAAAAAAATGCAGCCTAACAGCTATATAAAACCTAATTTACACAAGTCATGGCCCCTAAGAAAGGTGTTATAGCCTTCCTTCCTTCCTAGTGTCCTGCAAGGAAAAAGTAAGGATGAAACTGTTATTCTTAGTACTTAGTTTTCAAACTTAATATTCTAAATGCATTTCATTGAACAAATGCTTTTCTGGAGAATGCAAACTCAGAACTGCAAGCCAACTGGACTACACAGTTGAATTCACAAGCAAGTTTTTCCTTTACAAAAAGAAAAGGAAACTCAAAAAAAATTGCATTACATTAATTTAAGGGATAAAATATGTAAGGCATCCAAAAGCTTTACAAGCAGAACAAGCAGAAATTACCTAACGCCATTTAGGCCAACAACTGCCTGCAGTTCTATTGAGAGGCGTATTATACAAGGAGCCCAGTGTAACTTAATTTAATTTTCTCTTTCTTAACATGACTATAATGTCTTATTTATTTAGGAAATTGTTAGTGATGAACATTTCACTTACTTCATCTTCCAGTCTTTCTTTTTGCTCAAGAAGGTGCTCCAGTTTCTGCTGAGATTGCTTCAGGTCGAAGTCCAGCATGGAACACTGTTTTTCAGCTTGAACTATTCGATTTTCTGCCTTTTCTCTTGCTGCCCTTTCCTCCTTTACCTTTTTTTCCATTTCTAAACAGGATAAAGGAATGAAAAACAGTAAAAATGAATATGTAGCATCTGCAAGAATGCTTTTGTAAATACAGCCTTAAATATCATAATATTTTTCAGATCCTTTAGTTCAGCTATTTAAGCTCTTCTGCTGTTAGATGACTGATTACTGAGTAAAAACTTCCTGGCATTATTACAAGAAACACTAAAAAAGAAACACCATTTCAATTTGTATTCAAAGCACTGGAATACTATCATGACAACTGAAAGATAAATAGTGAAAAACATTTTTAAAATGCGGATTCTTAAAGCAATCATTATGAAATAAAGGCAAAATTTCATCTCCATGAATGGAGAGAGGAGGGGAAGAAAAGAAATGCTACCATTTTGTGTCAGCTTTCTGAAAAATTACAAACTGCACATGCAGGTACTGATGACCTTCACAAAGAAAACCTGATGTATTCAATTAAGACATCGAGACAAATCTTTGATTCATGGACATGTACCTAGAAAAGAAACTTCAACCTTTCAGACAAGCCTTATACAACACCAATATTTTTAATGCAGTTACACAGGAATGAATGCTCCAAGATATCTGTCTTGATACTGCATTCTTTCAATTCTGTTTAGCATTAGCGAGAATTTCAAGATTCAATAGCATTTTAGAGCCAAAGAAGGCTCCTAATTGCAGACACAGTAGGATATTAAAAACATTATTTATACAAGAGATTAAACACTTGCATTAACAGTGCTACATTATAAGACAATGTGTTTTAAGATATCATAATCTAAATACCTTCTATTTTGTATTTACTTGAAACTTGCAAAAACCACTTACCACACATTGCAACTGATCTTGCCTCCTCTATTGACTGATGTTTGTCAGTTAACCGAGCTTTAGTCACCTTGTGTTCATTTACTTCCTGTTCCAAACGGTCTTGTAACGATTTGAGTCTGTAGTTCAAATCGATCTCTAAATTATTCTTTTCCTAAAGATAAGAAAGAAATGTTACCAGATTTCTATAGTATTTCTATAATATCTGAGGGAATCACATTTCCTTTCTCCTCTTTTTTTAGTGTTAACTTTCTGTTATGAAGAAATTATCAATGGTATTTTCCATGCTTAATAAAGAACGGTAACAGACAAAACCTGTACTCAGTGCTCTGCAGAAAACTTCATTATCAGTAGTTTAAAAATTCATAAGACAATGGAACCTTCTCAGTTTGTATAATTAGTAGTCACCTAAATTGGAAACATACAACTAATTCACTGACAGCACTACAGCACAGAGGAATTTGAATTACTGTTACCTGGATGCAATTCTGTTATTTGGCAGTTGTTGAGATTGCCAGCCATTAACAGTAACTCATGAAACAAGCACTGGAGGTGAGCTGTGAGAGACAGGGAGTTGGTTTTGGATTGCTACTTCATGTAACAGAACGGTAATTGCTTGTACTTTCCCTCATGGGTATATCTCTGTGGTGTATTTGGACAGACCACACAGCACAACAAGTCTTTACCTGACTTCAAAACACAGAGCTAACTACACAGCCTATTTGGAAAAAGGGTGCAGAATTATCTTTTACACTTGGTTACTTGTTTCTCCATCTTATGGAGGGGATCAGAGCTGTTAGGGGAACATGCTGTTACCATTCTTTAGGCAGGAAGGAAAAAAATTGAAATGCTTCAGCTCCAAAGTTGATCAAAAGGTCTTGCACTGATTCAGCCAAATTAAAATCCAGTAAAAGCAAATTTCAGGGTTTTAAAAAGTTCAACTCACAGATTTTCAGAAGGCAAGTCTTTTCAGCAACAGTTAGGCAGGCAGAACAAAAATTACTTGCTACTGGCAGAAGGGCTGAATCCTTGAATCAGTAATAGTGAATGACAAACATTAACTTTATGCCCAAAGCTACAAGTAAGAACTGCCTGAGGACTTGTGAGACTTGCCATCCTGATAAGACTGTAATTTAGCACTATTTAGTTGATCATTTTAACACAAGACTGATTTAGAGTAAGAACACAGGACTTAGCAACATCAATAAAAACTACTTGAATATATAGCCAAAAGTTGATAAAGAACATTAGCCTCAGCATCATTTTACCATACCTTTTCCGAATGATTAAGCATATCTTGTGCTTGTTTTCTTTCTGCTTCTACTCTTTCAAGATTGTTCTTAACATTTTTTACTTCTTCTTGCAAAGCTGTAATCCGAACTGCCATAAGAAATGAAATATCATTCAATATTAGTTATTCTACTTAGATCGATAGGCTTTTCAACCTTTATTGATTTCTGGGCCCCTAAAATATTTACACCTTCAAATTTTTCAGATATGCAAAGGCTGTACATTGTAAAGGAAACTGATCTTTTCAGCCACTTCTTAAGCATGCCATTAGTAACAACTCACAAAAAACAATCACATGCAAAACTTGGTACCTGTCTTCAATCACTCCCAATATCTAACATGCAAAATTTCTTCCATTAATCCAAGTTCTGCTGTGCTATGTAACAAGCACCTTTTCTGGTGTTAATTCCATTAATATGTAGATACGGCACATTACAGAGAAAGCCAGTCTCAAGTGGATCTAATACACAATATGTATTTACCTAACCTTGACTAAGTGTTCTGCCACGTATCAAGGAACTATACCCCATCTTGCACAGCATCTACCACACGACCCTGTGTGGCATCAGAAGTTTGTATTAAATACTAAGTAGAATCACAGAATGGTTTGGGTTGGAAGCAACCTTAAAGATCATCCAGTCCAACTCCTCTGCCATGGGCAGGGACACCTCCCACTAGAACAGGTTGCCCAAAGCCTTGTCCATACTGGCCCTGAACACTTCCAGGGAGGGGGCATCCGCAACTTCCCTGGGCAACCTGTGCCAGTGTCTCACCATCCTCACAGTAAAGACTGTCTTCCTTATATCTAATCTAAATCTACCTACTTTCAATATAAAGCCATTATCTCTTGTCTTATCACTAGGTGCCCTGGTAAAAAGTCATTATCTTTCCTATAAGCCCTGTTTAAGTATCAAAAAGCCACAAAAAGGTCTCCCCCAAAGCTTTAGTGGTAGTAGTAGTCATAGTAGTAGGATGTGTGTGTATATACACGCACATGCTAAAGCAGTAGTGTATATAAGCCGAAGTAGTAGTATACATTTCTAGACTGAAGAATTTGCATTAGCTCCTTTAAAATAAATAAATAATATTTTTGATTACTCTATATTATACTTAATACCTTGAATACAGTATACAAAAATATACCTATCAATTCAAATACTGTCTACAGTACAGTCTGCTTCACTTAATTTTAGAGACAGCCTGGCAATATGTAAGAAACAATGAGATGGGAGAAACTCTACCTAAACCTGATGCTTTTCTCCCTGATTTTAAATGCACTTTTAAAAACAGCTATATGAGTTTCTGAATTGCATAAAGCTATTTGAGTATATACCAGCAGTGCACCCTAACTCTATACCCTTCAGAAAAAGATCCTTTTCCTGGAGGCTGCTGAGTTGGATGTGGTCAAAAACACATTTTGAAGTGCACAGAATAGTCTTCTCATGCCATTTGTGCCTCCTGCTTGCAATTAACAACAGACCAGATCAAACTACACTCAAGTCATTTCAGAAGAACTTTACAATCATTCAGCTGAAACTGATTTACTGTATTTGATGCACAATAAACAGGCAATTTGATTCTTGATAGTTCATCCTTTGTGCTAGCAAAGCTTGCCTTAAAAAAAAACAACAAAAAAACCAAAACAAAACCACCCAGAAGTCCTCCACAAAAGACTGTGCCTCATGGAAAATGATTTTCAATACTGCAGACAGATGGTTTAAAATGACAAGTTAAGAGATACATTAGCATAGGCACAGTCATGAACTAACGTATCTGAATAGTTTCTATTATTTACCATTTGAAGTACAAATGGTAAAAAGTCACAAGCATCCTGAAAAAAGGGATTGCACATCTGCATCCCTTACTATGTTTTTTATCTTGCTTATGAAGTAATGTAGAAGTATCACAAAAGAAAAAAAATGCAATTTAACAATAAGATAGCTTTCTCCACAAATGAAGAACGAGAAAGTGCAGAGTGTGTCAACTTGGCTACTACACCAAGGCAGTAGACAGGCTGTTGTGTCTTCTCTAGCACTGCATCAGCTTTTCGTATTTTTGTACCACTGGACTCAGCCTTTTAGTCAGGACAGCCCCACAGACTTACAATCAGCAGTTTCCCATTCTTTGATTTTGACAATCTCCCTCCCAAGAGCCACTCAGACTTGATCAGGAAGCAAGATCCAATTTTCAGAAACTGTTCTATTAAGTCACACTCAGTTTGCAGGCTGGCTTTCCTCCCTTTATGTAACTATATTTTATCAAGTAGGGTTATCACAATTTTTTGGTAAAGTATAAACACAGAAGAATTACCCTGTAGTTCTCCAATCATTTCAGATCCATGACTTCTGTCCCTTCGTTCTGACTCCAAAGCTGCTTGCAGTTGGTAATAATCTTTCTCCACCTGCAGTTTTGTGCTTTCTAGAACTCTGCACCTTTCCTGCAGTTCTCTGTTCAGTGATTCCATCTGACTTAATGACTTGCTCATTTCTGTGTTACCCTTTCTCAGTCTTGCTGCTGTATCCGATTCCGTCCTCAGCAAATCATTTGCTTCTTCTAGCTGTTAAAATAAAAAGACAAGATTCTCAAATGCAAAAATTACGGGGACCAGTTTTACTATATCTGAATGCTCAATGCTGCTTCTCAAATCTAAGAAATAATGAAGACAATGAACTGAAGCGACATACTTGTTTTTGTAATTGTGTTATCTTCTCATTTGTAATTTGTGAATGCTGGCTGATCTTTTTCAAGTCTTCCATCTGATCTTTTAGTGTGGACACTAAAGAGAAATTACACCATTAATACATCACATTGAAAAAATCCTTGGCTTTTTTTTCACTTTACACAAACACCATCAAATAAATTCTTGGGATAAAATAGGTCTTTTGTTGACTTTTTGCTTCCTATACATTTTTTAGGTCAAATTCTGTGCTTGCAGAACAATGCATGCTGTAGAGAACAGAATTCAAAAGTAAGACGAAAATATCATGTTCTCATTAAAACTCAAATAATAGTAATAAACTCAAGTTTCGTGTTCATTATTTGAAAAGATCCCTTTAAAACTGTGTAGCACTTAAGATGCTAAGGTAGTAAATCATTCCCCAAAACACATCATACACCTCATCAGTGTCAATGTTTGGACAACATGGCATACCTTCATTTTCCGCATTCCGTCTTTTCTCATTCTCTTGTTCAATTTTTCTTTGGTAGTCATTTATCTTATGTTGCAATACCATCTTTTCCTTCTCAATCTGAGACACTGTTGATTCCAAGTTCTTTCTTTGATTTCCCTAAAATGAAAAGCATTGGTAATTTCTATTTACATTTTATGGAATGATTCCTAAATCAGTATATTTGCAACTAATTAATCAAGAAAACTGATGCGTTTCTAATGAGCGGGTTTCTGGCTTCTTTGAAAACGTTTTCGGAAAAGATGGCTTTTTAACTTCCATGTGACAAGCTTATGAAATTTCTAGAAAATTTATCATTAATGTGATTGTATGTACATAACTATTAAAATTATTATTAAGAGACAACATAAGGACTCAACAGAAAATCATCTGAACATTAACTTTTAGAGTAACTGATTTTGGTAAACTCCAAAGAAAATGCAATGAGCAAAACCAAGCAAAACATTCAGCAGAGGAATTCAGTGTGACTTACAGTAAGAAAGTTTTTCAAATATGTGCAAATAAAAATATATCTCCAAGTGTTACATATTAAAACGTGATGGTTTGGTCTCAAATTTAAACTCAGAAAAAAATTTTTAGTCATAGAAGAAATATCCTAAACCACGAGAGTACTATCCACATTCTCTACCCAACTAAGAGATTCAGTGAGGGGAAAAAATTACCTCTTCATCCAGTTCTTTCATTATCTTGTCTAGCTTTATGTTTGAAGATCTAAAAATAAAACAAAATCATTTAAGTAAGAGGAGGATATATTATATATAGTGTTTTTCTAGTGAAAAAATTTGAGACTGTTACTAAAGCGAATATTTCTATTTTGGCTAATGCTATTTTGTAATAATCATTTTAAATTGAAGAAAACAATCAATCATTGGAAATAATCTTTAAAATATATTATTATTTATCAACTTTGCTGCAGATTATATATGCAAAACCTTACAAGCCACTTTTTATCCCTTAATCTGCAAAGGTAAAACCAGTGTATGTACACAACAGGCTGTCATAAGAATCAGAGAACCCTTCTGAACAGCTAAAATTTCCTCTAGTTGTGAACCTTCCAAATATCTAAAATGGTTCATTAATTCGACAGTAGACAGCTCCCTACTGTGGATAAAGACATTTGAACAATTTTATTTAAAAGTCCCTCTGATGAAGCAACATATTAGAACATAGTACTATACAGATGTGGTTAAGTGCACAGTAAAACCTCAAGTTAGCCAGCAGTAACATTGACACATACATCCTTTGCTTTTTTGTAGCCAGCTATCCCTCTTCAAAGAGATAACAAAAAGGACCCAGACAATGTTACCTGGCAGGGACAATAAGGAGCAGTCACAGCAATGTATCCTATCTACTAACTCTGCAGTAAACAGTGCGACATTTCAGAAAACACACTGCTGTGCCCTGACAGCTTCAGCAGTACTGCAGGAAGACACCAAGTATTTTCCAAGCAATTCAGATCCTGCTTGTGGAAAGCAATCACAACAGGAAAAGAGTAAAGTTGTGTTTAAGTAAGCAACAGTGTCACACAGCCTAAATTCCCACAGGACCATTTTGGCTACTAGTTCCTCCATAAGTAGCCTGCACAGCTACACATTATGGTCCTATTCACAAGCATAAAAATCTTCCTATATCCTATACCCAGTGTTGTCTCCCAGCTTTATTTAGGCCTTTAGGAAAAGACTTCAAAAGGAGAAGCTAACTGAAGGGGAATTTAGTTTGCATGAATCAGAGTAAAAGTTTCTGATTATCCAAAAAGAAGAATCCCAACTATTTGTTCGTAAGTGTAGCTACAAGAAATAGGCAAATTCTCATGTAGTTACTTCTTCAACATGGCAGAAATAAGACTTTAGAAAGCAAATAGTTGTTCTTGTCTACCAGCAACGGAAAAAAAAGAAATGTGGTTTTCCAACAAGTACCATATGTTTAGAAACTAGTTAATTTTCATAATCCAATATATACCTTATATACAGTATTTTATGTTTTCAAAAAAATCAGCATGATCATTGCGTACCTCAGTCCAATAAAATATCTGAATTCAGAGACATTGGGTAAACTGAAACTTTCAATCATTTAGAAAGAATATGTGTTACATGGGTGCCAATGAAAACAAAACAGTTTCCTCATACTATAGCCAAGAAAACCATTCAAAAATTATTTTAGAATGACTTAAACCTGTGCCTGGAACTCCCTTGGAGAACTACAGTACAGTACTTAATGTTGTTCTGGTAATCCCTAAAGCAGTAATACAGAACTAAAGTGTTAGATGTATTTAAATTATGTAAACAACTAAGGTTCAAAGGCTCACCTGCACTTCTGCTCCATTTCATCTTTCAGCTGCATTTCATTATGTAGTTGTTCTTCCAAATCATAGATCATCTTCTGCATATTTTCCAGCTTTAAATATATATTTGTACATGAAAGAACACGCATTAAATTTGAAAACTTCAAAAAAGTGTTTCAGAATATTCAGTGCAGCTTATGTTGTATCACAACTTTCTCACTTCTATCTAAACACCAGATTTTTACCTTATTAAAATGTGATCACCCCCCAAAAAAAAATTCTAAAAAAATGAATTACAAGAAACAACTTTAATATTACGCAGTTTTATCATTTGCAAGTACATAAAATTTTAGGATTCTGAATCGTTCTGTCAAAATTCATGGGGCTAAGCTAAGTCAAATTGTTCTTGTTTTATGTGTCTTTGGAATCAGAGTAAAGACATTACTGCAAAGATATAAGAAAGCACTTTAATTAGCCTCAAAATTTATTTTTCTAGCATAAATCACCACAGATATTTTGCAATGCATCTTCAAGCTCTCAACAAGTTCAGGAAGCAGAACCAGGCCCGTCAGTTACTAGCAATAGTGGGGAAATGCTCTTAACATCTGTTTAGTCAGAGAGAAATTTTACAGCTAGAACTGTACTAAGGTTTGAAAATAGTAACAAGCTTCAGATGTTATTACAGAACATTAGTATACAGCATGTATCATTTGCCAGCAAGATAAATTCAGAAATTAATTCTCTTCACATAGTCTCAAACTATCTACCTTCTGCTGAATCTCTGGGCAACATCAATCAATCTCACCCCAACATCAGCAAAATCCTCAATTAACAACAAGATGGTGTCAACTTTGAGGAAGCTCTTTAAGTCAACCCCACGCTGATTAATTCTGTTAAACCTTTTTGCTGATCTTGTGAGGATTTCAGCCTTATTTAGCTTCCCCACATTTCCCTCAACACTCTTGGAACTGCACAGAGATGAATTACAGTCCTAGCTTAGACTCTCTTCAAAGCAACATATTCAAGTCATTCTTGGCTTTTGCTTTCTTCTTCTTGTTCTATCTTCAAAAACTGACAACTGGCTGACTCCTTTTGCACAATCATCCCAGAAAAAGGAGCAACAGACCTCCTATGGCTGCATCTTTCTTTTTTCCTTTTCCCACAAAATACGTTTAGAGAAACTAGAACTGCTCACTACGATCATGAAAAGGAGACAGATTACATTTGTCTCCATTCTTTCTTGACAGTAACAGTAAGTGTTCTCAACAAGGACCGCTCTCTGTACAGTCCTAAACTAAGATTTCAGTTTGGAGATGTTATAGCATGCTTTGTCCATATCAAAGTTATAAGTGACATTATTTTTGCCTACTTCCAGGCAGGTATTTTGCTTACTTCCTACTTTCAATCTGTTCTCCTTTCCATCACAGAAAGAAACAAAGCATGGAGCACTCAGATGCTCTCAAGAACTGGAGAACCTTTTCCATTTGCTCCTTTTTCTTTCTTCCACATTCTTAAGCTTTCAGAGGAAGATGACAAACCTGGCAACTAGGGAATAATCAGAAACTACATATTTCACATATTCACTCCTCCATTCTATATATTCACCACTACCTATCACAAACCCTTGAGAGAGCAAGGAAATACTGGAAGAAACAGACTTCTCAGCACTTAAGAGAACAGCTCTGCAAAACCAATTACTGGTATGACATACAATGTAACACCATGTGGATGAGACAGTTGCAGTCAAAACCACAGAGATGGGCTCTAAATCTAAACTTTGAGGAAAAAGGAAAGAGGACCAGTACACACATTTATCTCCTTGGTATGAACCACTGAGAAATAAAGCAAGAAGCAAGACTATTCAAAGGCTAGCTCTCACTTCAGTAAAAAGGACCGCAGCTAATGTGCAAAAATAAAGGATAAAGAAGTTTCCGTATACTTGCTCTTTCATTTCTTGGTTATTCATTTTATAGCCCTTCCAGACAGGCTGCATAAAGGAACTAAATGGGATGGATAAGGAACAGGTCCAAAAAGACATCTGGCAACTGAGGCATTTCTACACGGACTCCTAATTGTTTGGATCTCTATTGACTCCTCTTGCTTCTTTCTGTCTCTGGATGCCTTTACAGTGCTGTACCCCAAGGGGCCCATCTAAGCTTACTGAGCTGTCTAATTACATTAGTACAAGACAACAGGCTTCCAGAGAAGCTTCCCACAATCTGGTATCAGTAGACTATATAATACCTTAAGAAAATCCTGAGTTACCGTTAACTCATTATAAAAGTATTCCTTTATGTTTTAGTTTGTTCTCACTTTCCACTTTGAATAGGAGGCAGGGGAGGAAAGAAATACGGAAACATCTGCCTACAGGCTTTTGTTTGGGTGGGATTTTTTTGCATCTGGTTCTGCACCTTGAACAATGAAGAAAACCAGAGACCTAATGCAAAAGAATCGGTCAGTCTCCTCTTTCTTAATATATGAACTGTTTACAGGTGGTTATGGTAGCACTAAACCAATGTAAATAATGAGATCTTCAAAGAAGTTTGAAATTCGGTTAAAAGGACACTGAATTTCATTTTTTTCCAACTTCATGGCCTAATTCTGTGACATTTTATACACTTGCACAACACAACGACTTTCTTGGAAATTTCTGGCACTCAGTCCCTCCCAGAAGACATTCAGTACTATGCCAAAATGTAGACAGACCAGGTAACATCTTGTGTTATATTTCTGGAACTAATTAACTTGCTAACCATGTGTCAACATTACCGTTTTCATTGCAGCATGTAATGAAAGAAAAACAGCTGAGAAAAAACTGTGGAGTAAAAACACCTTGTAGTAAAGACTTAACATCTATTTAAACCTCTCTATACCAGTCACACTCTTCCAGAGCTTCATCTCCCAAACTTGTTAAAATCACAAGACACTCAAATGCACCTGACAATACAGACAGGGCTCTTGACGGATCTTTAACTATGTAGAGATGCCTGCATCTCACTAATTATGCCAAGTCCATTTTATGGAACACATTGACATACATAAAAATATCAAGACACACTTCAATGCTTTATAAATTCGGTTAGCCCACTAAAGTACATAATTATTTCCCCTGCCCTTCACCAATTTTCTCTGGGTAATACCATATATCATTAAAACCTTAGTACTGCAAATTTTAAAAGGAACATAGATCGATATCTGCCTCTCTTACTTTAAATGGAACACATAATGGAACAAAACACTAACAAAGTAAATCATAGTCAGAGCCAAGATTATTTCTTTTAGAGTTAATTATCAATTTGTTGACAGTGTTTTCCTCTGGAAAGAATGTGATTTTTAAAATACCAAACCATTCTAAGAGAATAGCTTGATTTACACCAGAACTTAGACAGAATCCAAGCAGGCCTTGTTTCCAACACCTCAGCATACCCTCGTGGGTACCTGACTGTCAAGAAGCTTTGGAAGCAGTAACTGAAAGAATCCCTAGGTGAACTGCTCTATAAATGCAGATTCTCTGTGCCTCAACTCCCACTGGCTTGTGAGGCAGAGCAGAATATCCAAGCTTGGTGCATTATCTGCCACCTCCCATTTAAGTTCACAGGAGGTCCAACTCCAGTGTTAAACTGGCGGGGTGCTGGAAAGCCCAAGCTTCTTGTCCCACTCACATCCAGACTTCACGGTTGCCACAAAGCCAGCGCACACCTGGGATCAGTGAGGCACTCTACAAATACTGCAAAAACACTTTCATATTTCTGAAGATAAAACCTGTGAATCCAGTTCCACGAAAACAGTATGCCATTTCAGCTATTTTATCCCAATTCAAGAAAACCAATGTTATATGAAGAACTGAAATTATGCTTTTCCAGTAACTTTAACAGGGAGGCCATACTAAAGAGTTAAAATTTGTATGTTGATATTCCAAACACTAAAATAATTTTAGACTCAAACAGTTTATTCCCATACAAGCGACATATTCTTTACTAGGATCCAACAAAGCTGAAAATCAGTGAGACGTACCACACTTTTATCCACACTGGAGCCTGTTCTGTTATCATTGGAATTTTCTGCAGAGACAGCTAAATACCTGTAACAACATTTTAGATGTTTTATTTTAAGAGTTGTTTAAAAGCAAGGTTATGAAAATAACCACAATACACTCAACTCAAAACATAACCCCCAGATTTTTTGCTCCAAAATGTTGATAATCAATAGTAACACAACCAGATTTTTTCATTTCTGTATTTATTATACTTCAAGATTAAAGCGCGTTTAATTGAAAAACTCACATAATTTATTGTAAAGGGTAAAGTGGAAACCTACAGTAGAAGACCTCCAGAAAAAAGGATTCTGCCAAATACTAATACAACTACTTTTCTTTTTTTAAATAACCATTAAAAAACCCTTGCTTTCCATGGTTACAACACTCCCATTGGCTTCCATCCCATAAATATTTACTCAGGCACTTATGCAGCAAGTAACAGCAATGAAGCAAACTCTGCAGAGACTGTGTAAGTTCCAACAAAGTTACTAAGAGTTCCACACACAAAACGTTTGCCCTGAAGCCAGTGTTCTTATCTTAGATGTTTTCTAAAAATACCATCATTTTCCATTTGTCATGATTCTGAAGAGTCAGGTAAATAAAAGCAAATTACTATCTTCCAATTTTTTTTTTATTTGATGCGATATTCTTGGCCTGAGAACTGATCAAGAGAGATGTAAAAAGTCTCTAACTGCATCAGATTATGTGAGGAAAAACTATCCTACACATGAACTGAGAAAGATGGACGCACATCCTCTTTTTTGTTTCACATGCTTATTTTCACATATACAAAAATCTCTCCAAAAGATCAAGAAGAGTAAAATCAGACATTTCCAAAGCCATGGTCAAAGTAAACACCAAGACTGCTTTCAGACAAACAAATGACAAAGAGGAAACAGGAAAAATTCCTATAGAAAGAGGCTTGCTGTCTTGAGTACAAGAAGCCACCGTATTTTGCACACCAGGGCTGCTGAGCAGTGCGAGTGTGATATTCAAACAGGCACAGCACCAGCTCCATCAGAACCCAGAAGCAAGATTGTGTTGCTTAGAAGACTTTTAATTACATTAAGTCATACTTTCAACAGTCATTATTACTGTAGGCACTATGGATAGCTCTATCTACATTCAGAAACCCTGGTAACTTCTTACTAGAAAGCTGCTTTTAATTGTGGAGGATGTCAGTCAGGCTTAAAATGGGTTAAAACTTCTAGAAGACCATGTCAGATAGAGAATCTTAGTTTTAATAGCATTTCTGGATAGGAAAGCCTTAAAAGAAATAAATCTGTTTTTCATCCTTGCATAGAAGAGGAACCACTTTTCCAAGCCTGTGGTGGAATTCTTTCCATCTCTGCAAAGAGTTGGATTTGTTGTTGCTTTCTGTACAGTAAGGCGTAGAAGGACTTGTAAGCTTTGCATATGGTTTGTGTGAGTTCAGCGGTTCAGGAATTTCACCTACGGCTCTGATTTTAGCTTTAAAAATTCTTAATTTTTGTCTTGCCGGAAGATTTTGGAAAATATTATCAAGAAGGTGAAGTAGCATACAGAAGCTTGTTAATAACAGAATTTATTTTCTCCTCCCCTTCCTTCCTGGGGGACAGTATCAGGTATTTAGAGAACTAAGTGGCTGTGTTCTGCTGTCACTGAAGAACTCTGCTACTAAGTACTATCGTAACTTTGTAGGCTTACTAGAACTAAAGTGCTGCCCTGGAATCGAATTTTGTCCCATTATACTCTGCTGGTGTGATAAGCCTTGAAAAGCCTGAAGTGATACTTGCTAAACCTGTAATCCTATTTTTTATTCCCTTTTTGAATTGAAAATAGTTCAAATGTTTAAAAAATAAGGTATTTTTTTTAAGTTGCACACTTATCTCACCCCCTTCAGTTTCATCTTATTATTGTACACTGGAGAGTTTAAAGAAAGAGAAATGTAGGAAAATGGCGTGACTTCTGTTTTTAATGAAGTAGTACAATCATAAGTATAGAATATTTTCTACAGCTTTAATCTCATTGATTGAGGAAATACGATTGTTTATTTTTGAACCTCATCTTCAACAAGATTTTAGTGGCTGAGTACTTCATAAAAAATATGAAGCAGGTAACAGGCAAGTAGAAAATATCTTATTTCTAGCAAGCCAAGGCTTTATCTATCACATGCTGAAACACTGATGTAAAGTATCGAATCTTCACACACAACTCAGAAACAGTAATTTGCAGTAAAACGGTGTGGCATTCATATCCCTGATTCATGATGCTACACATATAATTCAGTGCTCTGCAAGCAGCTCTGGTTAGTAGCGGCAAGAGTGGATTTTTCTTGCTTAGCTTCTGCAGCACCACTACATATTTTTAATGCAGAATAAGATGTTCACAAATTCAGTGTGATATTTTACTGACGACTAGCAGTACTGGTTATCATTATCAAAATGTCAAAAGAGTAGCATTTATTCAGATTCTAAATCATTAATAAGAATCTGAAAAGGCTTGTATCAAAACACTGGTTGGTAAGAGCGTCAAAAAAAGAATACACCATTAGCTTGCTCTCTGCATACGTACCGACGGTTGCTGTAGTACGTAAATCCTACAAAAGGAAGCTGGTTGCCCACAAATGCTTTCGGTATGGGAAATGTTTCTTCTTCCCCTTTATCTTCTTCCAGATCATCAAAATTACTAGTGTCAATGTCACTACTCAAGTCAGGCACCACTGGTGCGACAGCTAGGAAAAAAGCAGAACAGTGTAATAATGATCATTGTATTACTGAAGTGACACAATCCAGAATTTGGAGTGTGGGGGGCGAAATTTCCCTTTGGTGGGAAATCTCTTTCCTTGGTACAGTGTAAATAGAACTTTAAATTCCATTAAAAAGAAATATCACAGTCTGTTTGCTAACATAATACATAAATAAGACAGATCAGTGTCTCATCGGAGAAAAGCATTGTACTTACTGTCTCTGAGAGTTTCCCAAGCCCATTGATCATTTTTGAAGAAAAGGTGCCGTTTAATTTCTTCTACACCATTTCGTCCTAGCCTCACTTCCCTGTTAAAGAAAATTACATAAATTATTCCGAAGGAAAAACTCATTCTAAAGCAAAATCTAACAATGAAGACAAAAAATTACCTCTCAAACTAAGGTAAGAAATAAACATTTCTCAAAGTTTTCATATGAAGGTATCTATATGAGCACAGCAGCTACTGTTACCACAATCACAAGACTCGCTAGGCAGCTGTCAAGGAGCATCTAGGTTCCACTTTTTCTAGGAGTTCATGCTGTTTGGATCCCATGCAGCCCAGGAAATGCAGCAGCCCACCTCCTTTGTAGCACCAGTTCTCAAGCAAATGTCATGCTTATATTAATAAGTAGCGTGAGTACAATAGAAGTGTATTCACAAAGTAAAACAGGCCTAACACCCACATTTCAGATGGACTTCCTTTGGGCTGACTCTACCCTGATCCTGAATGCCCACTACGAGCCCAGAGTGCATGAGGGGCACTCCTGAAATGCACCTTTTGCTTCAGCTTCACCCAGAAGGAATCTGTTTTGCATGCCTCTCAACACTATGCAACACAGACAAAGGTAACAGTAGCTATTACTGTGGACTAACACTTTATTTTAAAACTAAATTTAGAAGGTAGAAGTACCCATAGTAGCAGCACTTCCCCAGTATACGTGCTACTACCATAAAGAGCAGCAGCAACCATTGGTGACTCCTCTCTCAAATACTCACTTCCATCGAGCAGCTCAGAAACCCACACAAAACATATATCTATATATATATAGATATATGTTCTTTCAGCAAGAGAAGAAATTCTCTTAACGAAGGCTTACTTTCATTTTGAGTAAAGTTTAAATCTTACCTATCAGTTAAAAAGGCACAAATAAGGTTTTTTGCCTCTTTAGAAATGTCATTGTCATCAGGGAAAGTAAGGGAGTTCTTATGGTTCATAATCTTACTGTATGTTCCAACCAAAGAATCTGCATAAAAAGGTGTATCCCCTGAAAAAGCAGCAAAGCCAAAATTAAAAGCAAATCAGAAGTATTGCAAATTTGATTTACAATATTTGAAATACATATGTAACAATGTAAGCAACTAAGTGAACAAGAGGCAAGGACAAATGTTTGAGAACTGCATCAGAATATTTCTAAAATATATTCTGTACATACCACTATCAGTAAACCACAGCTTACGTTAGAAGAGTAGTAAATTATACAGTTAAAAACAACACTGATTTTAAAATAGAGTCTAGTTACATAGTGCAGTCAATTCTGATTATCCTATTACTCACCTACAAGCATCTCATACAAAAAGACTCCAACTGACCACCAGTCGCATTCTCGCCCATAGTAACCGTCACCACCTTGGGACTTCAACACTTCAGGAGAGATATAGTCTGGTGTTCCCACAGCCGTATCACATCGTACCATACCTTCCTACAGGGAGGAGGAAAACAGCCAGGCCCAAATATAAGATCCAAATTTGCAAGCCATTTCCAAGAGTTTATGCGGCCTATGCAACATCAACACATCAACATCAACTGTTGTCAATGAACGTCCTTTTCTGAATGGGTATGTAAACGTTTTTAAATCCTAAGCTACTAAATCCAGCACAAAGCACCAGATTTGTAAAACACAGTGAAAGTTACTTTAAAAACCTCAGTTAATATCCAAGCAGCAAGCAGAATTGCATCTAGGCCCTGTAAACACTGCATAGCTTCTCCCATTCATCCCAGTATAAATGTGTCGTATACGACAGCATGTACTATAAACAGGGAGGGCTCCTCCATTAGTATAAATAGGTCAACATGAGGGATGTGGCTGACAGGATCAGCTAAAGTGCAAGTTTTTCACCTCCGATCCAATATACTTTTAGGTGTAACTATACTTATTCTTATGCCAGGAGGACTAAACATAGACAGGGCCTTGAAACTCTAAGCAGACAGACTTCAAAATGGGTAACAGGCGAGAAGAACGTTTGAAGTTCCTCATGGCCCTGAGAAAGGGCTGACAGAACAGAGCTCAGTCACATTGGAGCTGGCATCTAGAATGCTGAAACTGCAACCACGTGCCCCTTTACAGTGCCATTCAGCAGTTCTGAAATAATCTTCTGCCATTCCTAGAAATGGATCAACAGAAAAACTTGCACAAAAATATATAACTAAGTAAATATAACAAATACAAATCCAGTGTTGTGTATGTAGCAAATCCAGAATGCACCTAAACTAAGCTACTATGCTGAGCAGTTTCCCTCCTGCAGAGTAACCTTTCTCTTTCAAAAGACCAGAGGTACCCAAGAAGATGCTCAATACCACTCAAATAACTTTGTTTAGAACAGCACAAAACACGAAGTGTTGCGGACACGAGTTTACTTCTGTAATGCTAACATACAGCAAAGTTTCATAATATTTTTTCTTTTCTCTTTTGGCATTCACAGCTTAAATGGTAGGATAATGTTTATCTACATTTCAAAATTCCTCATTGTTAAGAACAGACAGTCAAGGATAAATCTGTATTAAGTCAAAATAAAGCCAAATTTTGTGTCAGCTATTCCACTGAAATGGACTGTTTGTGACCTGAGTCAACTCTTTGAACTTGTACACATAACCTATAATTGGTTTTCATTGGTGCCTTTTATTTATGACAAAGCAGCTAAATACAGTGATTCATTCAAAGCTCGTGGAGTAGTTGAGAACATAATGTAGATCAATTACAGACACTGTTAAGCACCACTTATCTCAGATTGTTTTCCTCATATATATGTCCATGATGACACAAACCAATCAGAGTTTCATGTAGTGAACAACAGTACTTCAGAGTATGTGAAATACTGCTGTAAAATGTCCTTTTTTAGTGACCTCAGGATCTATTTTAAAAATAAATAGTTATATGACATTATTTAACCTGTTTCCTTCAGATTTGCCCTTTTGCTATATCAGCATATGGCACAGCCCCTATTTCAAGAACCATTTCTGCATTCTACATTGCCACGGAATAGGACACAAAGAACAGTAAGGGGAACTCTTCTTATCTAGCTAAAAAGTTTTCAGTATATTTTCTCTTCATTCTTAAGTATGTTTTCCTTTCACAAACAGAAAAGCAAAATTAAAGTCATATGTTTACCTTGTTCATCTTCATGCAAGTACCAAAATCTGCAAGTTTTAAATGACCAGCTTTATCTAGCAGCATATTATCAGGCTTCACATCTCTGAAAGGAGAAAATTAGATTTGTTTAAAAGTAAATGAATCAATTTAACTTATGAAAACAATAAAAGTCAACTACTTTTCACATGCAACATTGCAAAGAAAACCACCAACTATTTCTTCCATTTTTTGTTGCTTTCTTTAAGTATCATGTCCAACTCACAGACTGCTGAACAACAGCATTAAAGAAAAAATATAACGGCTGTATGAATACAGTCTTAAGTTACCAAATTTAAGAAATCTGGACATTAACCTTGAACCTTAAGTTCTTAAAAAACACTCACTGGTTGAAGTACTTCTCCACTAGCTACAGAAAAAAAATCCATTCTGGTTCTGAGTTAGCTATCTCAAACAGACCTTGAAAACATAGCTGCTCCTCTGTACCACTTCTACCTTAAGGGAATAAATGGATGTCATTTTCAGAATTATATTAATGCGAGCAAATGTTTTTCCATGGCTCAAAAGGCCTTATGCCCTTTTCCACAAGTACTTCTGTGACAAGCAACTGGCGAAGTTCAGCACATCTAACATTATTAAATACACTAAAACAAAGTAATAGTAGGAAACAATTATCAAGAAGGCATAACGTGAATTTCAGGAGAAAGTATATTTCTGGGATCTCAACTGAAAGCTCTGGCCATAACTGTGAAGTGAAATGTAGTTGAAATATATCAGTATACTCACAGAATAATTTTGGTTGGGAGGGATCTTTGCAAGACCCCTGGTTCAACCACCTGATCAAAGTACAGCTAACAAAGTTAGATTCAACTTCATAGTTCCATTAGGTTCCTCAGGGTCAAATCTAGTTAAGTTCTAAATTTTTTCAAAGATGGAGATTCAATAGCCTCTCTAGGATTCTCTTCCACTGTTTGACCAGCCTCGTAGCTAAAAAATATTTCTTAATGAATAGGCAGATATTCCCTTACTGCAACTTGTGTCACCTATTGCCTTTCATCTTTTCAGTGTGCAACTTCAAGTCTGGTTCCACATTTTCTCTGAAGTCCTGCTGGGCACCTGATGACTGCAGCTTCCTGCTGCACCTGAACACTGTTCAGGTTGTGAACAAAAACACAGTGCTGCCCCGAGTATCAACCCTCTGAGGAATCGCTGGTAGCTGACTGTTGGCTGGACACTGCACTACTGAGCGCAATCCATTGTTCTACCTATTCAAACTGCATCTCTCCAATCTGGCTACATCAAAAACTTTGCTTTTCAAGACAAACAACACATGCTGCTCTCCTCTCATCAGTGAAGCCAATCTTCTCATCACAGAGGGCAACTGGGTTGGTAAGCCATGCTTTATCCTTAGTAAATCCATGCAGGATGTTCCAAATCACCTTCCCATCCATATGCTTGCAAATGGTTTCCTGAGAATTAACTCCATAAGGGTGCCAAAGGCCGATTCCCTATAGGCTGCTCAGTTCCCCTGATCTTCCCCTCCTTGCCCTTTTTGGGTCAAAATAGGTGTGCATTTGCATCTTTTCAGTCCTCAGGAATCTCTGCATTGCCACAACTTCTCAAAGGTGACAGAGCAGTATCATAAGGATACCAGCCAGCTCCCTCACAACCCTTGGTACATCCCACCTGGCCTTGGACATGCGTATGTCCAGTTTGCATAACTGGGTCTCAGCTTGATCTTCCTCTGTCAAAGTGCTGCTTTACTCTCCCAAGCTCTGCCACTACAGCACAGGGACCTCAGAGGCCTGAAAGCAGATCTTATCAACGAAGGCTGAGGCAAAAGCAGCAGCCTTAGCCGTTTCCATGTCCTTTGTCACTAGGTCCCTGATGCATTAAGCCGCGGGCCCACATTTTCATCAGTTTCCTTTCATTCCTCAGATTTGAGCAGGTGGAAAACAAATTCAAAAAAATCTGCTGGTGTCAAAAAAATCTAAATTTTCACTAAAAAAACCTCGCTGTGCTGCTGGCAATTTCTAATGCCTGCTTTCTAAAGCTTGCAATACACATGTACAAATGGTTCATTCAGCCAGATAATTTATCCACCAGATATAGCATAGCTACATAATTAATGATGCTCTAGGTCCTATTCAACCAACGGATTAGTTGTTTGTTCTGCTTTGCTTTTGCTTTTTTTACAAAAGCTTACATGTTCATACTGATCTTCTGGCCAAATTACAAATTGAGAATTCATATACTATGTCTTCCTCAAACTCTTCCTGTATATTCTGTGGAAAAAAATTATTATTCTGCTCCACAATCAACAGCTAGCAACAAAAAAAAAAACTTCAAGTATCAAATATAAGATAACAAAAAGAAAACTTCACAACCTATCCTAGAAGTGACTACATTTCACTTTAGAGCAAGTACATAATACGAAACTACATCCATGTTCCCTTTGCTCTGCACATCCATGTTCTGTTTTCCTCACATCCTTCACAGATTCTTGTTTAATGGGTCTGATGCCAGCTGAGGCTTCAAATGCAAAGCAGAGTTAATAATTTCTAACAGTGGATACTACTGCTATCAAATTCCCAAAACATCTTTTTCTAATCAAAGAAAGGAGCTATTTTGGGACCAATACGTTCCTACCACTTTAGTTCCTGTATCTCAGTGAAGTAAGACAATTTTATTACTCCTTAAACTGAGGAATATCAGCCTGCTGAAAATTGTAGTTTCTGATGGCAGGCACTTCTCATGTAAGATGGAATAATTATGAAATAGTAAAATTTATGATGTTATTTCTTCACGAAGACTGTCTAAACAATTGCTGAAGTAATTCTGGCAGCAGGAGGAATAAAACAACACTATGTAACAACACGTCTTTCTTTTTCACCTGTGTATAAAACCCATTGAGTGAATTGCATCTAATGCAAGCACAACTTCAGCAGTATAAAATCTTGCCCATTTCTCCGGAACATCATAGTTGCTCATTAAATTCACAAGGTCCCCACCAGGCATGTATTCCATCACCATGTAAAGGTAACGGTCATCTTGGAATGCGTAAAATAGCTGTAAAAACAAATCAAGAAAAAGCAAGTCACTGAATATTCTCATTATCTTTAAGAAAAACCAAAGGAATTTCTGCACAAACTGATTTACACAGTAAAAGAATCGCAACAACCACTGCAGCAACTTTGCACCATCCAGCAGACCTCCAAAACCACACATGGTTATTACTTCAAGAGTGCTCCCAATGCATCCCAAAAATTTTGTCAGTAATAACACTGAAATGAGGAGATAACAACCAAAGTGTCAATAATTTGCAGTCAAATGCACACGCAGAAATCAGAATATACAGAAGCTTTATCTTATGCATGTATTTCTGGTATGCTGGATGCCTCAAAGAATTACTACAGAGCAGGCTCACCAATGTATATCTGGCAAAGAGTTCTAATAATAAACAGAACAGCTTATCTTGTAGATGTTATGACAAAATACAGTTTTTAAGCAAGTGCAATATCTGCTATTTGTCGTATACAGCGTTCCTGATATTAATAATGAATTTCCCTATCACACCAATACAACCAAAAAAAGGACTTTGAAAAGCTAAAAATGAAAACATGTAATTCCAAGTCACGCAATATTTTAACAAAACTACTCTATAATGACAATATTTTAAAAAGAATACCACTTACCTGAACAACCCAGGGACTGTTAGCAAAAGCCATAATATCCCTTTCTTCCCAGAAGAATGCAGAATCTGATCTTTTTATCATCTCAAATTTGCTTAGAAGCTTCATAGCATACACTCTTCTTGAGGACTTATGCCTTACCTATGAAGACAAATGTGACACAGAACACATCAGTTTGCCATATTAACGTAAGAAGAACACCACTGAATATATTACTTTCCTGCTTCACTATTTAACAAGTTTTATATGACTCTTCACGTTTTCATAAAGAATTGCATACTATAGGTCTACAGGACAATTACATTCCATTATGAGACAACAGATGCACAGCTCTTAATATACTTGCTAGAACTATCCAACATAAATGTCTACAGGCATAACAGTCACTTTGTACTTTGAAGGTATGTGTCTTTAAAAGGACAGATATTGGCACCTGTTAACTACTATGAAGTTAAAACTATAAGCATTTTCCAGAGCTCATTATCAGACACGTATACTTGCTGCCATATTTCCAGTTTCTCACACCAGTTCTAGATTTAATAAAGTGGGATGAACAAGCCTGGTTGGTAATCTGCCACAAACAACACACAACATCTCTCATCTGTGAGAATTATGTTCACAAAAGTCTGGTGTAGTCCCCGAACTGGCAGACATTCTTCTAGTGCTGAAGACAGTCCTGAATATGTGTTCAGAGGTCCATGCATACAGTGGAAAGGCTAATTTTCTTGATTATGAGGAATACACATTCCATTATATTTTACTAGAGAAGCATGACGACAATGCAAAGCAAGTACTTCTGCGCTTTGAGCGTACTGAAATACCAGCTTCTCAAAAACATTTCCATGGGATAAAAAGGAAAAAAAATCACTGACCTAAAGGTTATAATATTATAAAAGACTTCATCTTCTGAACACTGTATTTAGAAATAGATGCGCAAACAAACACTACAGAACACATTTAAATGTACAAACAGAAACATAACTTACCAACTGAACCTCCCCAAATGCCCCTCTACCGATCACCTTCACCACTTCATAATCTTCAGCTTTCATGCGCAGATCTCTCATTTTATTTACCGTGTCTTTATCTACATAAAAGAAAATTCATATTTCACATATAATCCATTGACTTAAACCTATTCATCTCACTTCAGATTTTCATAGTTATTAGCAGATGTGCTGCTTAAACAGGGGACGTCCTTTTGAATCCACCGTCCTATTGGAAACCTCTCTGCAGAACGGATGTCCTCATTCTCCTTACCATAGTAACCAAAACGTGACAAACATAATGCAATGACTCTACTGTACAGTCAAACTACCAGAGATCTTAATTTGGTAATTTCTTTTAAAATAATTATCTCTTAAAACAAAAAGCTATGCAAAAATTTCATATCTAGCATGATCGTGCTCATAAGCTGATGAGTAGAAAAATATCATTTCTGGATAAATACACAAAGCATCTGAGAAAATATCATAAAGTACACATATGAGACACTTGAAGAAACTATTTTTTTTTTAAATAAGCTTTCACTTTTCTGCACTTTTATTATTCCTAATACTCAAAAAAGATTTTAATTTAAAACATGCAGTGGGAATCATTGCGATTATTTATATAAACCTGTCATTCTATAAACGACAGTAATTTACAAACTCCCAGGGGGCAGATATTCCAATTCCAAATTTGGTCAAAGATTAAAACAGTCTATTTTAATCCATGTGGGTCAACACTGGCATGAGATTACATGGAAAAGCTTCAAGTCTCAGTATTTCTAAAAGCAAGGAACATCTACTAAAACAGATATGCTTCTAATAAAATAAATTATGCAATGATTTTTTTTTCTTTCAAAAATAATATTCTAGGCCTAAAAACAAAGTTCAGAAAGAAGAACAAATGGAGAAGAGAAAGAATGAGAAATGTCATTTTTTTAAGTTTATATTTGTAAAAAAATTATTAGGCAGACAACAGCAAATTATCATTAGATTTCTACCTATGCTGGCCACTAACCTAAAACAAAAGCAGCACACGTAGAATTAAAATTCAGCGAGATTTTATTACAGCAACAGGAACAAACATAGTTTTGTGTGAATAAACATTCTGTTGCATTACCGTCTAATGTAAAGCCATTCCCTTACAATGCAGCATACCATAGCTGATTTCAATAAATGATTTTTAAATTGTAAATTCTTACAGAATCACAGAATCACAGAACGTTAGGGATTGGAAGGGACCTCAAAAGATCATCTAGTCCAATCCCCCTGCCGGAGCAGGAACACCTAGATGAGGTTGCACAGGACACATTATTTCACTCAAGGATCAAAATACTCAATAATTTTTAAAAAATAATGCATTGTCTTATTTGCCCTGGTGAAAACTGACCAATAGTGGAGGATGAGCAAGACTGCACAGAATTAAAATGCAGCAAATCTCATGGCAAGAGTTTTCTAGTTACTGTCAACTCACTGCCTAGACATCTCACAACAGGAGGTCCACCGCTGCTGAATGAAAACTCTTGACACTGGTGCAAAAGAAAGCTTGGCACAATAGGAATACTTTACACGCTTTTCAATCACAAGCCTCACCTATGGCCAAACCACAATTAAGGAAAACACGTCTGAAGAGCAATCTAAGCTAAGGATTTTAAAATACTGTAAACCAGGCTTGTGAGCTGCTGGAAGCTGCAATTTACTCCTTGAGCGACATACTAACACCTGATTATCTTCAGGCAATGTGCCACAGTAACAAGAGTGTTGGAAATTAACCTCTGTATTCAAAGATCTGTTAAACAACATTTATTAGGCTGCAACATATTTAAGTAGGCAGTTCCTTATCTGCCACCAGCAGCGGAGGACCTGGGCAGCTTACGCTGCATGAACAGGTGTGGTAGCTCCTATAGCAGAAGACCACATTCTCTACCCTGCCCTGAAGGTTCATTATAAGCTTAGATGCTGTCTTGAAATAAACAAGAATCCTTGCTGCAAAGCAGGGCTCTCAACCGTCCTGATTATTGATTTCTTTAGTCTTTTAATTCTGCATGGTAGAAAATTAATAAGGTTCTACACTTGCAAAAATAACCCTCACAAGCTTAGGAAGCAGAAGCAGATTCTGGAGGCTCCACAAATATATAATGTAAACTAGAAAAAAACAGGAGGGAATAAAGTCTGGCTCACAGGGCAATGAGTCTATAAAATAAATGAAGCAAACTCCCATTTTATTTGCAATCTAGAAATAATTTTTAAATTCTAGAGCAATGGTGCAAACTGTTTGGGCACCTAATACTGCAAAAAGATATTTTAAACAGTTTTCTACAAGAACAAAAATAAACATGAAAATGTTCTTGTATGTCTATTTATTTATTTTTTTTAATAGAAATATAAGACAAACCAGACTTCACACATCCCTCTAAGACCACTATTTGCACATCCACAGCTTGCTTCCATATTTCAGCAACCAATACAAGATCAGTGTTCTAAAGGCAGTTTGAAGTGAGAAATTATATGTTCTGTTCTCCACCTTCACATTACTTCAGGTCACATCTTACACAGTATATCATTTATACCTAGAAGATATTCATTGTCAGACTGTAAACGTAACTACACTTTCACTTCTGCTGCAAAAGTGAAGCTCTTTGAGACTCACTAATGATTTCACTGCTCATAAAAATTACATTCAAATTATCTGTTGCAATGAGTATTTCCTTTGCTTAATACAACTTCTCTTTTCTCCAGAAGTTTCACCACACCTTCTCTGTAAATAACTGAGTATACAAAATGTGCGTGTAACATGGTGTATGGTATCAAATCTAGTTTGAACTGTGAAAAGTTAAACAGAACATTTGAACTTAGGCCTTTCAGCAACCAGCTTATGTGCAAGTGAGCCATAAACTAGATCTAGTGGGCTCATACAGTCCCACAGTGGGGAATCATATAAAGTAAAACCCACAGATTCACTACCACTGCTTATAGTTGCATCAGGTGGACTATTTGAAAAGAGCTTGGAAAAAGAAACAAAAAAACAGATTTCAGTAAGGCAAATTAGTTTAGTGAAATTACTTTATATTTGCCACAGAAGTCATTTATTACAACAATTCATTCAGATGCTTAAGCCTGTAAAAATCTAATAACATGAGGTTAAGTTCCAGGTTTGCCCATTCAGTCCACAGGCAGAAGCAAGTCTCGAACCTGCAAGTAACTCTGCCATGATTTCCAGACTTTGTCAGTTTGGCAGTCTGTAGAATCACAGAATGGTTTGGGTTGGAAGGGACCTTAAAGCTCATCCAGTCCAACCCCTGCCATGGGCAGGGACACCTCCCACCAGACCAGGTTGCTCAAAGCCCCATTCAACCTGGCCTTGAATGCTGCCAGGGAGGGGGCATCCACAACTTCCCTGGGCAACCTGCGCCAGTGTCTCACCACCCTCATGGTGAAGAAGAAAAGACTTAACTCTTAAATTCCTTTTTGTTGGTTGGTTTGTTGTTTGTTTGTTTGTTAATTATTAACATTATGGAACTATGACTTGTATAAAAAAATCAACTTTAAATTCAACTTTTTCATTTAAAATGTTGATACAGAGTAGAACATGCAGGAAATCTGGTAGTGGAAAAATACAGAGTAAATACACAGAAGAATTCTGCAGACATCAGCTGCATACACACGTAAGAACAGCAGCTATGCAGTATAATTCAATGGGATAATGAAAAGACCTTTCAGACTAAAAAAAATACAAAATATATGATTTCTTGGCACTTTATACATAGTATGTCATTTTGCTGTTAATTGCTTATGATATATTAGCACATGAAATTACACAGCAAGTTATGGGAATCCAGAGAGTTGCCAAGAACAAAGGTAACAGGCCCTTTTCTTCAAAGGCTTTGTGCCACTGAAAACAACGCCTTTTACAGTGGCAACAAACTTGGACATTCAGTTGCTGGGGATTAGGTTTGTATAGGTAGCTGCCAGTTCTCACTGGGAAATACATAAATAATCAGGCTCTTAAAATAACTTGCACCCAAAAACTTAATGCGCCCCGAATTCCTAGTTGCCTTTCGAAAAGCTAGAACAGCTTTCATTTTTAATTTTTGCTGGTATTTATAGTCTTCTGTTATTTAGAAGTTAAAACATTAAATACTTACACCTGTTTAAGAAGTTATCAATGTTTTTGTTTTTTCTTAAGGCAGGGAAATCCAAGTCATATACCAAAGCATCTAATCCATCCTGGGGGAAAAAAAAATTAAGAAATGAAGTGTTTGGAAAAATAATTACATATGCTTCTTCCTGAAGAGACAAGATAAAACCAGCTGTCCCTATCAATTTTCCATGCAAATGAAATCATTCACACTTATTTAATGATTCAGTTAGCAGTTGCATGAAACAGCTGTTACTTCTCCACTTCCACTGGACTCTTCAAAACTTAATATCTATCCATCCCCAAACAAATATACTTCCATGAATTATTCATTACATTAGCTCATGAATTAATGAAACATAACACATTTACATGAAAAAATGTTTTTTTCCAAATATGAAAACAATAAATAGCAACTCTAGTGCAGTTAATAAATGTTTAAAAGTCACAAATGTAGGCCCTCAAACATTAAGTGGCAACTGGCAAACAGGACAATGCTGGTAATTTAATTCCAAGAGTCAACCCCGACCACTTATTCATTGAATTCAGAAGGAATTTTCATGAACAAGATACTGGCTTTATGCATTCTCACTTAAATCTAGGAACGAACAGCCACAAGCACATCTGGCGTTACTATCATTGAATACACCACTATGAACAAAAACAAAACACCAAAAAAAAACCAAGAGAAAAATACAACAACAATGATGAAGAAGGTAGTTTTAAGGTCTTCTTAAGTGCCTTAAAGTTTCTGCCTTAAAGTTTAAGTCTAAATTTTACAACAGGTATATATGATCCTTCGGTGGACTGCATCTTCTCAGATAAAAACTAAACACGATATTTTGGTTGAAAAACAGAGATATAACTATCAAATCTTCTAGGGAATTATATCACAATGACTCAAATAGCATTAGGGAGTCTCAACTAGGTAACAATTAAGTGAGAAATGCAAAAATAGAGAGAAAGTCATACAATACAAATTAATGGATGTTAAAAAAAAACACGACAGGGAAGTACTGATATTTACTTCTGCAACTCCTACCTACATGTCAATGCGATCTCCTTTCGACCTGCTGGGAGTGAGATATCAGACCAGACATATCTTTGATCTGATCAGTTCAGACCTGATGAGACCTAATTTGACTGTTATCAGCTCTTATAAAATTACGCAATACAGGAGTGAAAGCTGACTCACCTTTGACTGCTACATCCATCAAGTAACTATGCCTCAAGAAAAGCTAGAGCATAAGCTTTTTGAAAGCTTATTTTACAGGAATATGTCTCAGAGTATGTATCTTGATCTAATTTAAAAAATAGTCTTTGATGCCTCACTTCAAGTTCAAACCTATTTCCCGCCCTCAATCTATAGGATATTTTAAGCTATAAAATTCAAATTCTATCAAAATGAAAATTATTTCTACGCTTGCAGTCCTCATTTTTGAACTATATGAGCTAGAAATTATTTACTTCAGGTATAATGAGAACAAGCAGTAAAATCATGCTAGAATTTGAAACATGGGTAAGGCAGTAAAACTACAAAGATAACCAGAATTACTTTAAATGCTGGATTTTATCACATTCATTAATTTCATAAAGACATTCCTGTTTTAAGCTACCTTTTCATACAATGGCTTAGTTTGAACTAAGAAATGTAACAACAAAAATTACAAGAATCAAGAAAAGCATCACAATATTTTCACAGCACTTGAAACAAAGTCAGGGTTTGCATCTTGAGCATATTAATGGATCACCTTTAAAAGGGAAAGCAAATGGCAATAAAAAAACTTTTAATGGGTCAGTAATATAAACAAGAGAGTAAGAAGCCAACAACAACTTGAACTCAAGACAGATGTAGAAATAAAGCTACACAGGGCAAGTGCAACTTAGCAAGAAATACTTTGTAACCTAATAAAGGATACCTTTTCCAAAGATACATGGTAAATATACAGGAAATCCACTAAGGAATTTAAATTCTTTGGTAAATTCAAAAGAGAAAGGACGGTAACAGCTTGTACACGGCTGCTAGGGCACATCCAGGGGGTTTTAAAAGCAGATGAACGATGTGGATGAATTGCCAAAGTTTGGGCTCCACTCTGCCCTTCAGTCTTCAAACCTGCTGAGTCAACCAATTTGTCCAGGGTCACTGCTAACACCGAAAAATTTTCCACGCATCAAGCAGAAGCATAACAAAATTCTTCAAATCCTGTTTTGCTTTGGGGCAGTGCAAATAACTGCTTCATTTTGGGGTTTATTTCTAAAGCCAAAATTCAGTCTCTCTCTTTAGTGGTGGGGAGATTTTAAACATGGAATACAACAATATAGGACAAATGGGAATATTTGCAAGATTTAACATCAATCTTACTTTGGTATCATACTTTTTCTTTCAAAATATTAAAACAGAAACCTATGTCAAAAATGGAATAAGTACAGGAAGTGTCATTGGTCTGTCAGGCATGTTGGGTATTTTGTTGTGTTTCTTTAAAAAGCTCTAAAATAAAGATGAAAAACAGCGTACAAGTTCACTTCTAACAGGCAAAAGCAAATTTCAATACTGTTTAATTCAGAATTCACTATGAAAACATTGCCTTTGAGATCTTAGATATGAACTCTTTCATGTAAAACACTAAAAAACTCTGAAATATGAATTCAAGCTATTGATCTCATATTTATTTCAAATTGCACTTCAAAATCATGCAGACAGTATCTGAAGAAGCTGCAAGCCAAGAGTTCCTTATGTAAAAGGCTCTTCAATAATCAGCTCCCCTTTGCTACAGTATCCAGAGAAGAGATTATCTCGGTTCAAAACTGTTATTAGAGAAAAAATAGTAGGGCTGGGGGTGTGGTGGCATCCCTATAATAATTAAGACACTTGTAAATCCTTAACTCTCAAAATCATTAATTTCTTCAACTGAAGTATGTTTCTGAAGAAAAAATGGCATGGTACTATTTTAATGGTGGACTGACTACATATAGAAGACTAAGCTTGAGGTAATTTGAGAGAATTATGAATAAAGAAAGTCAAATATTTGGGCCACCTACTATGTAACAAAGTATGGAACAGCCTTTTTAGCTCCCTTAGAGAAGTAAGGTAAACTAGAAGAACTTGTGAATGCTACAAGCTATGCCAGTACAAAGGGAAACAGAAGCATGGCTATTTCAAGTGGTATCACAGGTGAACAGACAGGAAGGAGGCAGCAACGCAGGTTGAAAGCGGTACAGTTCACAGGTATGAGAATATACTACGGAGTTTTAGCAATAATGGTTCACAGAAAAAGGGTAAAGACTGAATGAAAGGAGACACAATCATTATTGTTGATGGCTGCAGAGATAACTCATCTCTCAGCTTTCTTGTTTCTTGCTCGGTCTTTCAATATGCCACCTGACTTTCTTCCTAATACAGAAAAGAAGGAACGTCTTTCCTTCAAGACCTGTGGTAGCCATGCCCTCCTCCTCTTAAAGAAAAAGGATACTAAGATGTCATTATAATAGGCAAGCATACATCCAATAGTTTAATATGCTTTATTAAAATAAACAGGTCTCATTTTTAGGATTGATTTTTTTCTTCCTCTTGGATGGGTTCAATATCTATTTTAGTACGTATCTTATTTAAACACAGCACATCCTGTACTTCTTGGAAACAGTTACTGTAGCTCAGAGGTATTTTCAGCTAACACTCAGTTCTACCTTATTCTATCATTACAGAGCAATTTTTCTGTTTAGCTTTGAGGTCTACACAGACATCTTCCTTCTATGTTAATAGATAAATTAAATTACTAAAATAATTGGTTTATAAAAGCAAACATATGACTTCTACTTACACCTTACATGGTAAGAGTAATTCAGAGGTGGTTAAGAAAGGTGAAAAAACTTCCTTTCTAATGTCCTTCACTCAAACAGTTTCACAGTCTGATACAGTCTTTTCTATATCACATTTATTTAATGAAATCATCAGTCGTTTCATAATCTGTTTTAAATACCTCATTTTATCCTGAAATGAAAAAGAATACTAGGGAGCCATTACAATGTGCAGAGCTCTTTCACACAAAACCAACATTTCCACATATTCTGCTGGTTTGGTTTTGTTCATTACTACACCACACTTAAAAGTTTCAAAAGAATAGCAGTATGGGGTGAAATCCAAGGTCAGTGTGGACTCATATACTGCACCTCTAGAGATGACGATAAGAGTGTCTAGGAAAGAGGATATGAACAAACCCAGCATATGGTAGTACTTCTCTGGTGTATTTGTGAGCCAAAAATGGCACTGTCATACTTAACAGCTCTAGCCAGAATTTTCTCAGTGATTTTGTATAAACATTTGCTGTACCTCTTTTAATCTTTTGCATTTACAGCATCATGTAGATATGAATTCCACCACCTATACAGGCTGTGTGAAAGTGTACCTTATGTTGAGCTTGCCATACTTCAGTCCCAAAAGGAACAAAGACTCTTTACCCACCTGCCCCAAGACACAGCTTTACACACTTCCATCATGTCTCCCTCGGTCACGACTCCTGCAATCATCCTTGTATGAAAGCTATTCCAAAACCCACCACCATCCAGGGCTTCTTTATTTCTACTACATATTTTCTGAACCGGGGGAAAACTGCCAATAGCATTTAAGTTGTGAGCACACCATAAGTACAAAAGGTAGTACAATGTTTCCTGTTCTGTTCTTCATTAAATTTTAAGCTATTAACTAAAATATCTGCTTAACTTTTAGAGTCACCATGTACTAAATTATTTCACAAAACTAGGTACTACAAATCAAAGCTAGCTCAACATTCAACACCACAAATACATAAAGATGAAACGTTCTTCTCCCATGCACCCACTCAACATTCATAAGTGCTGAATTTCATCTACCAATATTAATTTCTTCTGTGATTTGCAATAGTTTTAATTTTTACTACTTTATCACCATTCATTAGTCATTATTCATCATTTTAGATCACTTATGACTGTGAAATTGCACAGACCTGTTAAACTCCATTACTGATCTCTCTGTTTTGAATAAACTGATCACCAGCTCTCACATCACTCACTCATTCGTCCATCCATGCAGCTTAGTCCTGATAAAAAAGTTTCA